CGCGGCTCCGTCCCGTGCCGCCCCCCGCGCGCGGAGCCTCCCCGGGAGCGCGCGTTACCCGCACGTGCGCGGGGCGCATGCGCGGCGCGGCGGGGCGGGCTGCCCCTGGCGGGGTCCGTGGGGGACCCCGTGCCCCGCGGGGGCGCTGCCCGCGGCGCGGAGCAGGGCCCCGAGGCCGCCCGTGTGCCCGGTACCGCGCGGGAGCTGGACACGTGAAGCCGTTGCCTTAATTAAGCCAATATAACTAATCTGAATGCCTGCAGTGTCTTTCCCACACGAACATCCGTTAATGCCTTTCATATTGTTCAGATCGTTGTAAGAGTCACCTCTGCTGACTGTAGTGAGTTTCTGATCATCCATGAGGCTCTACCAGGAAGGYTTCCTAGATTTATTTGTTTAAAAAAAAAGGAAATATTGTTTGAATATATGGACAAAAACTGAAAAAAAAATGCTTGGTGAGACTGAAGATCGTTTTAAACACTCGTTTTCATAGAATTTGTCTACATGGTTTTATCTGAATTGCTCCTTGGCGGGCTCTCCGAAGAGCCAAATCTCTGTCCTTTCCTGAAAATGAGGTTCTCTCTGTCCCCAAATCCCGCTTTTTTTGTCCTCGACCCCGCAGCAGCAGGAGGCACCGGCCTGCACCTGCAGGGTGAGTGACTGCTGCTCTGTAAGGGCTGCAATTAGGCAGTGGCTCCTACAGTAAAAATAAAAACGGTAAAAAAAGAGAAAACCATAATTTCATTATTATGCATTAATTAAAAACTAGTCACAGTTACATGCTCAGCTGAGTAATGAAAGGACAATGTGCATAATCATAACCCCACCCAAATCAACTTACAAATAAACCATAATAAATTGTTTATAAATAGACAATCTTATCCTTAAGCGCTACTCGGTTACAGACACGTTCCATTTCAGCGGCACCAGGAAGGCACATCGTGTCCCCCAGGCTCTTCTGCTGGTCTCTCCGGCGGGACACGGGAGGCGTCATCATTTCCAAGAGGCCGGATGCGGCGCTCATTATGGCATTAGGCTTTTGTTTTCCTAGTCTTCACCTTCGCTTGTTCCCTCGCAGCTCCGCTCTCAGTGCTTGTGGCGGCAGCCGCTTCYGATGGCGTTGAACCTGCCCTGCGCTGGGGCAGGTTTCTACACCGCGCTTAACACCGGTAATAGCAGAGCTGCCTTAGTGACAGGCACAGTGTCACCCATCCTCCAGACCACACAGCCCCTCCGGAAGGATCAGCAATTTGGCTACACGGATCCTGTAGTTACCCTGGAAAYGCACAGTGCGATGTGTCCCGTGCACAAGGTTGGAGCTGGCCGGTTGTGTGCTAAAGCGTCGCCTTCGGTGCCGCCTCGTGCCCGCTGGCGCTGCAGACGCGCCTCGCTCTCGCCCGCGTGCCCGCTCCCTTCCTCCGCGGAGCTGCAGAGCTCCCTTCTGCCTCTTGTGCTCATTCGCCCTCCTTTTCCAGGTCCATGTTCCAGGTTTTTTCAGGCATTGCCATCTACTTTTACTACAGAGTGATTCTGTTATGTCAAGTGTGTGTTCCTTGGTTTTCATCACTTAGGCACAGGTTGTGAAGAAACCTGCAGGAAACGCAGCCTAGCCCYGGCCTGGCCCAGCAGACAAAGCCAGAGCAGGGCTGCCCTCTGTCACAGGCTGCAAAGGGCTTGCCAGGTCCTCAYGGAGCAGAAGGCACCGCAGGAGGAGCCCAGGGCTATGAAAGAAATTAACGCCCCGGTCCTTGCAGCACTGAGCAGCCGCAGGGCAGAACTGCCACATGGGCATGAAAGCAGAACRTTTAAGTGGCCCGGAGCAGTCTGGCCCAGCGGGGAGGTTCTGTGTGTGCCGCTCTCGTTGCACGTCTCATCCCGAGTGCCTGAGGAGCAGCGGCAGGCGGGCAGGAGAAGCAGTGCAGAGGAAGATCCCATGTGGGTCTTCCAGCTATGGAGACCTTGACACAGAGRATTAGCAAAGCCTAAGAGCTGGTACCAGATACCCGATTTTTCAGAAATGCAGTTTTATGCATAACTCCATGCATTCATGTAATTATTGCTTCTAATTATTGTAAAGTATCTAAAGAAATGAAGGTCTGCTTGCATGACCAAAATATACTGCAAAACAAAGCAGCTCGAGAACTGCAAGGTGATTCCTCTGTGTAGACACACACACGCAACTGAAGTCCCCTTTCCCTTTAAAGAAGTTGCTGGGTGTATATGGATAAACGGAATGGGTACAATGCCCAAATTCCAAGAGCATCTAAAGAACAATACCAGAAATTAAAGATTTATCTACATTCTAGTAAAAAGAATTAAAAAAAAAAAAAAGTTTTACATTTGACTAGGAAAAGTCTTAATGGTATAGAACTGAGGTCTAATTATCTCAGTGCAGCACTTATTGCCCTTGGTACAGCACTAGGCCCACTAACRAGATGCAGGTAAATGTTAAAACATTTAACTGAAGGTCTGGCTTCTAATACTGTAATTACATTTTCCTCAGCTTTTGAAGGAATTGTTCATCTCCTGTAGCGTTTAAAGAGATCTTCACRGGATGGAAAAACTGGGAAAAAAAAGGGACAACCATTGGTGACAAGGTAATACTGTGACATGTAAGGCAGCAGGACAGCACAGGCTGAAACACGGACCAGGCCCTTCAGACTGATCACCACAGTGACAGCCTGCCTACGCACAGGATTCCTCGCTGCCTTGAACTGCATCAACTACAGCTTGTTACTTCTTTCTTCCACAGAAGTACAATAATGATTAAAACACTAAATTCGTTTAAGTTTGGTCTTTGACTTTTTTTTTTTTTTTTTTTTTTGGGGGGGTGGTGAATAAGAGGGTTAAGAGTGGGAGGAAAATACGTTTGTTAAGTACTCACAGTCAGGAGTTAACTCTTTGGGCTTCTGAGGGCCAAAACATTTTCCTGTCCCTGTAGCCAACACCGGCAATTTCACACGAATCCAGTGCTTGCCTATTCAGAGCTGTCTATTAAAGCTACCACTAAGAGATCCTATATAACAAGACATGAAAAGGCAGACAGCCTCTGAGAGCGGAGCCGTTGCAGACCTGGCCTCCTCTGGYTTTTTCTGAAGCATCAGTCACTGCCACACCAGGCGCGTAGCAGCATCACGGGATAATGTCCTACAATGATCCTATACCAACCCGAAATGACGACATCCGTCACGGTTTTTCAGGAATCTATTTTGCAGAGCTGTCCATGCCATCAACAGCAACTGAGTTTTTGCTAATGTGTCCTTCTTTAATGCAGGACTGCTCGGACCCACACTCAGTGCTTGCTGACTTTTGCAGACAGGAGTGCAGCGGTTCCCGGCCGCCACTTCCCCCTGGCGGCAACTCCTGCGTTAACCTCTGGTGTAGAAGTCTGCCAAAAATACAGATACGAACAAGGAAGGCAAGTGCAAATGTCATTGCCTCCTAGTGGCCCTTTACAGCAATTAATTCTGTATGTAAATATGTACAAATGAAGGGAGTAGAGGAAGGAGGAGAAGAGCGGGGCCTTTTAAACAACTCGCAGAGCATGCACGAAAAAAGTACACCACACTCGTTTCAGAACATTGTAACAAAATGATCTAGTGTCTTTTATTTGGGAAACAGCCAAGAAATCTGTAGTTTTGCCTAATATGGCTTTCTTCTAAAATTAAAAAGTTGCATATACCTACATTTGAGTCCGAGTACAGAAAAGCTGCTGTATGCATCCTTAATCCAGGTCAGCATCACCAGAATACAGCTTTCAATGGAGTTTTCAAGCTGAATTACAAGATACAAGTTTTAAAATGTTCATTTAGAATATTTTATATTGTTTATATGAAAACATACAAATCTTTCATTTATACATATACTACATAGAAAATTCATTGCAATTAGCAAGTATCTTAATTTGGGTATTTACCTCTGTGCATATGGGGAAAAGAAAAAAAGGATATAGTCAGGGCTTCAGAAGAAACAATCAAGTCCAATAACCTTTGTATATGCCAACTAAAACATTATTTAACTAATAGCTCAAACAATTTTTGCTGCTTTTAAAAGATAAAGAGATTCAGCTTAAAAATACATTCATAAAACAAAGAGACAATTTTCTCCCTGAGACTACCAGTGTGAGTTACTTTGTGGTAATCTTTGAATGAAAAAACATAAATATTAAAGACAGTAAGCTTTGTTTTTCTATATGCTGCCTCAAATTTCTGGATTAACACTGGTATCATAAAAGGTGTAGACTGGAGAATCATGCTCGCTAGCCAAAAAAAGCAGGTGGTTCATAGATCAGTTGCAGAAGAAGGAAAAAAAACTCTTTAATCTAGACAACACACTGTAAAGTAAGATTTAATGAAAGATCTATACCTTGCACTGGTATGTATGAATGGACACATTTTTGTCTTTGCATTTCAGGCATGAATTTTACCCAAAGCAGGACAGCCAGATCAAAAGCTGGAGTCTTGATTTACGCAGAGAAACTCAGCAGACTATTCCAGATTTCCCAAGCATTTACCGTGGTTGGTATTCATTAAACAAACACGTAATTTTTGAGAACAGCTTCTGGTTAAACTCAGTGTCAAAATGTTAAGTTCTAAGCAGAGGGCAAAGACTGACGAGCAGTAGGTAAGAAACTTAAACCTCTCAATGAAGATTTTCCCTGTTGTTAGCACATGTCACAACCGCCCAGCTCGGGGGCCAGCAGCGACACTGGCCCCGATTCCCTTCACATTCACCCTTCGGGTTGTTAGGGAGAGGTCGGTTGTTTAAAGTGCTACAAGGTAACAGAGTAGAATTGGGCAGGATTAAACACGTCCTGTCTTAACTGCGAGACAGACAGAAATATATGWTTTTTTTCCTTTTATAATTTAAATCATATTTATAATAACCATGCAATTACAGTATTTTCTCTGGGGGAGAAGGGAGGGTGGGGAGGGAAGGGGAAGCCTTACCTGAAAACAAAGAAAACACATCTTCATAGGCAAAAGGGGGAAAGCATTATGTTCGTTCTACCAAAATTTATTATGTAGTAATTACAAAGTTTAAAGATTCTTCCGTTTCAAATAAAAATAATAGTTATAATTACACACATTTATATAGTACCATGTCAAGTGATTCCAACAAATATCACGTGAAATACAGTGCATTTTCAAATCAGAAAGACAAATACTTTCTCATTCACAGTGTTGGACAAAGTACGGGAAAGCTTGTTCGCGGGAGGGTTTACTTCAGGTCATGCTGTTAGAGAGAGCGCAGGCGCCGCCGAGCCACGAGGCCGAGCCGTCCCTCAGAAGGTGAAGTAGCGAGCGAGCCACTCCTGGCGCTGCGGGTCTGGAGAAGCCTCCGGGGACGCCTCAGTCTGAGGAGGGCTGAAGTCACAGAGAGAGAGAGAAATCTGACCCACGGCTAAACAGCGAGCGCGGAAGTTAAAGGGAAGGAAGCTCAAAAGCACACGGTCTATCCACGCCATGGATTAACTGATTATCCACATGCCTTAAGCTACGGTGTCGGGTCCCCCTGCGGAATGTGTCAGCATCCACTCCATTGGAGAGCACCAGCAGCACAGACAGCTCAGATCGGAAGCCACATTACCAACCAGGCAGCAAATAATATTTTGGGGAAACTGCATTTTAAAATCTCATCAGCAACTSCAAGTTTTGGGGGAGAATAAAAAGAGTTTTCTTGGAAAAGTGTGACTGTAGAAGCTCCTCTTTTAGCATCCTTTTCCTGTGGTAAAGGTAATTTTCAGGAATATGATGCCAGCATCATATTCTTAGACATGTGCTCACAGGGACTGGTTGGCAACTGAACAAAAGTACACGCTAGTTTAATACTTTACACAAACCACACTGAAATATCACTTGCATTGTTTCATGCACACATTTAAAATATGCTAATATACCAGGATGAAAGGAACCGGTGCACTGCAAACAAGATCTGTTCCTCCTTGAGCACTCCCCATTTCTCAAAAAATAGATGAAATTTAAGTTTGATGACACAATTAGACCCCCTTGTGAATAAAATAATCCCTACTGTATTACTGGATAATGCAGGGCAGAAAACAATTTGCAAGGGAAACTCCAGCATCACAGCGCCTAAGCTCATGCACATGCACGCGACAGGTATCTAAGCACACTCATGCAYGTCACATGCAAAGGAAAAAGCAAGCAATCAATATATTTAACAAAAGATTGTTTTGTTGAAATACATTATTTTTAGGTATCTATTGTATATTCTACTACTTGCTGCCCTTTAAAATTAGGGGTTGCTATGTCCCTTTCACATCTAACCCAGAGGAGAGGGTCAGCCACCAAGTGTGGGCCTGGTCTCTACAAACTACTTTCAACTGCCAACTCAGGAGGCAAGACACCAACACYTACAAAACACAGAGCCCAGCATTTCTTTGGGGAATTTAGTACGTAGGCACACCAGCCAAAATAGTTAGAAATCCTCTCTCATAAGTACCTTTTTTAAAATTAATAATTCACTCTACCAATTCTTGAGAGAATCAATTGAAAGTTTAACGTTGGTTTCACTTATAGGAAGCCCACCGTTAAACCTCCGAGCATGCACGTTTCTTGCTGCTGCAGTGAAGCTGTGCTTAGGAAACAGTTTGATACAGGTGAGGAAAGGGGAAACACCAAACATTCACATAGCACAGAAAACAGTTTTCTTGCATAAAAAAAACATTACCACACAGTGCTGAAGAAAAGAAAACCCTGTGCTAATATCARTTCTTAAATGACAATCAGTAAATAACACCAACATGTAAAACAATTGTTCATGTGAGTAAACAATTGGCAGCACATGAATTAAGGTGTCGAGAGAGGTTTTCAAAGTTGAGTATTCAAGACAGGTGAGAGAATACTTCACATTTCCAGAAGGTTTACAATAGAAAGGAATACTGTAAAGAGGTTACAGGTAGAGTGTAAAAAAATTAAAATTTCATAGTAGTATTTGTATTTCAGAAAGGTCCGTAAACAAGCGGGATTCAGCTAAACAGGAATGCAAAATTTTTCTGAATTAAGAAGGAAAAAAACAACAAAAAAAAAGACTGGTGAGGCAGTGCTCACCTCCAAAACGTCTTGGGCTCTTTGGGTGGTATTGGCTGTGGTAGTGGTTTGCTGCTGCTGAACTCAATATCGTGGATGGGTGAGTTGGGAATGGGGTCCAGGCGGTTAGGATGTCCATTGCCCACTCCACTAGACTCCATGGCACTTAGATTGGGGACACTCACAAACCTGTTTGTCGATTTATCGTTCTTCTTCTTTTGCTGCATTGAAAACAACAAACGTGAGGAAAGCCCCTTGCACCACGACAGAGGAGGGCATCTGCAGACTGAGGGTTTTGCTGCTCCTTGTTCTCATCWTTTGGATGGGGAGCAACTGACACAGAGCTCGATATTTTTCTACTTGTATTTTAACTGTTTGCTTTGATCTGCACTGAACAGCAGAAACTTGCACAGACCATTCAAATGTCCAAGAAGGTGATTACRTTATTAAGAACTAGTTTAATCATGAATGAGTGTATAATCTTTAAAGATTTTCCTGTATAAAACATTGGAGATGGTAAGTTTTCCACAAACTATCATTCAGTCTGTTAAGCCTTTCATTTTTACTTAAATTCTTCCTTAGCATTAACGATTAATGACACCACTCTGCTGTCCAATGTGTTTCATCTCATTACTTAAGTACATTTTGGTAAGTGAAACACGGAACCTAGAAAATCAAGTGCATTAAAGCACTGATGCCCTCCTCATTAGCAAACATTATAGCCGTACTCTTAAAAATTAAAAAAAAAAGAAAAAAGAAAAAAAGAAATTAGAAAAATAAGAAAATACCCTTATACCATTGTTCAATTTCCTGCACACAAGAAAAAACTCCAGACTTCTAATTCTACAGCTAACACTTCTTGACACCAGATGGCACAACTGGACTTCTTTTTTAGGACTCTGCTTACTCCTATCGACTGACTCAAAAACACTCAAGAATTATCCTGATGTTACTGTTCTACTATCCATAATACATCTCACACCAAGGAATGATACTCATCCTCTCCACTGTCACAGATACTTCAGTGCAGATCAAGTAGTTCTCTAGTTCTATAGCTTTATTGTGAACTGCCACAAGTATTTCTTGACTTCTATCGAACATGCCATGTACAGTTACTTCAAAAAAATCTCTATTACTGTCTTAATTTATTCTCACGAATCATATATGAAGTATATAACATAATATATGTTGAGTTTTTAAATAAATACTATCCTTCAATTACACATATAAAACTCTAACTAAGCAACTAGAAAACMAAGCGTAAGAACTTTAACTCGTGTAATCTGAAGCTGACAGACAGGCGGGATCTGCACTTGAGGCAGAGCTGCCCTGCTCAGAGGGGCGGCAGCAGCCGCAGCTCCAGGCGGCCGCAGGGCCGCAGGTTGAGCCCCCGGCCACGGAGCCGCCCGCCGGCTCCCCAGAGCCCGACCTGCCCAGGCCGGCGCCTCGCACCTGCCTTGGCTTTTGGCAAGGGATCCACAAAGCGACAAGAGTTAGAGCCATCGGCAGCACAGGATTAAACTAGGATCACCCATAYGCTTTACTTCAAGCTGAAAAAGCTGAAGTAACACTGCTGTGGAAGAGTAGTTTAGCAGGAGTAACCAAGTATGTTAAACACATRAGGCAATATACACTGTATTTACAACTGTGTACTTCTCAGGTAGCTTATTTCTGGAAAGTTATTTTCAGACATTCTAAATTTTYCTGAATATATTATCCATATAAATGCTCAGAAAAAAATATAATTTATATCTTCTTCTATATAAAACTATCTGCTTCTGAAGAAGTTAAATTTGGAGAGATAGGATTATATGTGTAGTTTCCATGAAATTCATGCCAAGTATTATGAAACGTGAGATCTAACGATATAATACTGAACATATCCATTGCACGAGTTTGAGAGCCTGTAAGATATATACACACACACACACAAATACACACATTGCAATGGTTCTAATTGTGTGCTAATATGCAAAGCCTGTAGTAACTCATAATTTCTGTTTTTCTTATTACAAAAAAAGCAAAAAGAGCAAGGTTTTCACTTTCTTTGTGATTCATTCTCCAGTAACATAGTATGCACTTTGACAAACTTAAGTAACAGAGCCCACAGTTAACAAAATGAGAGACCAAATGTTTTGGCATACAAGACAGTATTAAAACCYTAACAATTCTTAGTGATACAAGTATATGATAAAAGTGAAATTATCACTTTGGAAATCTGATGCTGCAGTAATTCTCACAAACGCTTCAGATTTCACACAGAACACAAGCTGATGCACTCGACAGCTAAACCCGGCACCTGCTCTAGTCAACTGTGCTCTAAGCTTCACYGGCTGTTCTTAGACATCCCTTTACTGTAGCTGGTGCTCAGATACACAGTGCACGTGTGGGAACTGTCCTACATCCCGGCATTGGCACTGGATCTTCAACGGGCTTTCAACGTTGCTGACTTCTCAAGCGCACAAGGGATGTTTTGAGTCCAACTGTTTTCCAAAATCTGTACGAACTGTTTAATTCCTAGTCAATGGGGGGTCCCTAATCCACATTAATCTTGGTAACTGAAGCTCTAGGTGATCTCAGCTGCTTACACTGTGCCCTTCGGGTTACTCCCTTCACCTTTCCACACGCTTCCGTCTCTCATCCCTCTCCACGCAGGTGTAGCGGCCGAGGAGCTGCTGAACGCTGCACTATGTGGTGGAGGAGTCCTCCTTCCTGCCGAGGTGGGGAAAGGGAACAGGGGCGACCCTCTGGCTGCTGGAGCCACACGCAGGACGCCTGCTCCCCRTGGGGGCTGCTCCCCGCAGGGTGCCCGAGGCCCCAGGAGGCACCGGGGCTCCCGCCGCAGCCGGGGCAGCGGGAAGGCCAGGGCTGCCCGCCCCTCCGGCCACTTCACACCCCTTCTCCATTATTGCTCCATCTCACTCACTCTCATTCCATGCCCTTCTCATACTCTTTCCTTTCCTCTTTTACCTTTCTTCTTTTTTTTTTTTTCCTCCCCTTTGTCTTTTTTTTTTCTAATGGTCTTCCTTCCTAAGCACCACCTAAAAAATAAAATTGCCCTCCCACTTTCCAAATTAACCAAGGAAAATGATGAAAGCAATATAGTGCTCCCAGATTTTACTGTCCTCTATTCATAYGCCACAATTCTGTCTTCTATAGACTTTCTTTCACTTTTCTACTGAGATTTTGCAGTTTTGTGTCATCCATGCCTAGAAAATTAGGGCAACAATATCAGTGGATCCTTAAACAACATAATAGAAACAAACACACCTACACAAAGAGAGACAAATAATAAACTATGTTCCTTCTTTTGAACATTTCTTTAAATAAAAGTGATATATGTACACACAAACACACACATATATATACTTCTTTTTATTATATTCTAAGTTAGATTTCTTTTTCTTCACTTTAGCATTGAAGTCCATGGAACATACCTTCACCAATGGATTAATAACACCAACATTAGGGCTTGCATTAAACACTTTGTTGTAGTTAGTCTCCCTGTTAACTAGTTCCAGTTGATAGAACTTTTTGTCCTCCTAAAAGAAGAGCAAATAGAAACTTCTTTTTATGCATTTTCAATCAGTGGCCAAACCTGTCTATGAAATTATTTGAAATAAATTTATTTAAATTTTAAAGAAAACTACATTTCTATTGATCATGTTTCATATTTAATATATTTTATATACTATTATATGTAAACACCAGATCATTTCTATTTATGCAATTCCATTGTATGTTTTACCCTTTCGAATGAGCACAGCCTTACGGATTATTGGGAAAGATTTCTGGTAGTTAACCTAAATTTTTTATTAATTCAAATTTCCTGACTCCTACGTGGTTGGCTCTGAATCAATTACAGATCACACTAATCTGTCAGGCCGCCTGGGATCCGARTTTGGGAAGCTCAGGGCATCAGGAAGTTTGAGACCTAACACAAGAAGCTACTTCTTACCTGGTGTTCATGCCTTACTACTTCTTATTCCAGGATTGCAGCTAGGATATGTCTGCTGAAGGTCATACTGCAATTATTTTAATTAGTATTTTAACCTATGTTTGTAATTAGGCATTATGCTTGAGTTTGTAAGAAAACCTCTTCATCTAATTAATTTTACTGAGTCACTGACAATCACAAGGCTAAAATGTGAAAGCATATGAAGATATGCTAGCAGAACTGGTACTTTAAATGCATTTTAAACACTCTGAATTAGATTAACATTTATATCTGCCATGACACTAAACCAAGAGAGCATAAAAAGCCTTACAATCAATTTCTTTATGAGCTGGTCCCTCTCTGCAATTAGGTCTTTCAGCTCTGAGATAAGCTGCAAATCTTCTGGTCTTGATTCTCTGCTTTTATATTTTTCTTCCATTTCTTCTAAACTTTATAGGAAAGAAAAAATAGTCCTTTTAGCCTGACCCAGTGTTAAAAGATGAGAGAGTAAAGTCATATCTTTGATTAGTACAAAAGACATTTCAGGGAGTAAAAACAGAAACGACTTGCATTTCATCTCAAAGTAACATTTCCACGTTATTGTTCACTTTTACTTAAAATTTCAATAAAGGCTGCATCTTTACTACAGAAAGCAGTAACCAGGACCAATTTCCAAATCCTTAACATCCTTTCTGTATAAGCAGTACCAGGTGTTAGGAAAAAAACACCTCTTGGAAGCCAGAGTGAAAATGAGGCACTCAAATATATAGACTGTAGAGTTACAGATTATGCAGAGAACACAGATTCTTATGTATAATGCAGGGTCTACATTGTATTGTATTTAATATTAATGTAAATTTTGAAAAGCTGGCAACTGAATGGCTGGGTGAGCAAAGCCATATCATTTTATTTTAACAGATATCTATGTTGAATGAAGATGCATGTTTATGATACTGGAGAAACAGGACAGACAGACAAGGTTGGCACCATCTTCCTGAGCTCGTGAGGAGCACAGTGAGACACAGCTATCCAAGGTTAGGGAAGGCTAACACGTAGCTAACTCCTCTCCACAAATCTACTTAGCACCATTAGGGATGGAAATAAAGGAATAAGCTGCAAAAGAAGAGCAATAAACATCCAGGTATTAGAATATTGGGATTAAGAGGAAAGTAACAGTTGAGGAAAGTAACAAGAGCAACAGTAACACCCAGGTATTAGAATATTGGGATTAGGAGGAAAATAACAGTTGAGAAACACTTGAAATAATATGAGAATATTTGAAATGCTTGGTGAAAAGCATTAAAGGAGAGAACTGAAATAAGCCAACTAAGAGAACAAATACAGCAGTAACAGCATACACCTCCTTGTTGTTTCTTCATAAAGGGAGAAGTCYTGAAGACAAAAGACACTTCCAAATGATTGCTCGTCTCTCAAACACATCTCTCGTAATGCTAAACGCTGTTCAAAAGAAAACTACTGGAATACCTGTCTACCACAGGTAGCCTTTGGGTAGATTAGCATACTAAGTCTCAGAAYAGGAAATTTAAAAAGCTTAGTTAAAAAAAAAGAAAAAAAAACACAGAAAAAAACCCTCTAAATCTAAGGTGTCTAGTCAGATCAAACTTAATTCCACAAGACATCCTGAAGCAGACGTAATATCTGATTTTAAACAAGTATTTTCCCCTCAGAAGCAGCTGTGTAATTTTGACTTTGTGTTGCATTACAGGAAACAGTGCATGTTAAATTATTTATAACCTTCAAATAAGCTGTGCATAACTTGAGGAGATTATATAATGTATTTATTTAAAACACTGTGAATCTGAGCAACATGACTGTTTTTATTTGCAGRAAAGAATGCTTGACTCAGCAGAACATAAATATGCTCAGCTGGCTTAATTCTGTGCATACATTTTATGCTGGGTTAAGCTATTGTGTATAAATCCTCAGAGTATAATACATAGTCATGCACAGCTGTCATTTTATTTTGAGATGTTGCAGAGAACTATTTTTGCTGTTTCAAAGAGATATCATGCAATTTATGGAATCTAGCTGCAGAATTTAATTAATAAGACCTCCTCTAAACTCTTATGACCTAGATTCTCCATGTCACAAAAGTTCACAAGATTGTGTTTTAGGTAGGGCAGAGATCATTAGTACAGAAATCTTCATATAGAACACACTATTTTTTCCAAGGAGTTCCTCCTTGGCCAGCTAATTGCTATAAAGCAAGCACAGAGACCGCACTGGGAGCGAGGACCCAGCACAGGGCACTCTCTGTTTGCTGCCCTTGTGCCACTAGGAGCAGAGCTGCTTTCCTGCAGCTCCAGGCTGCACGAGGACCGAGCACGGGAAGCAAACTCAGCCCTCAGGACACTAAAAGCCAGCCTGGGGTACAAGTTGGGGTGTTTGGGGTGGCTGCAGCACCTGTTGGTGGTGGCTGCCACAGGCCTGTTGCTCACACAGGAAGAACGCAGTGAAACGGTGACAGAACTTACTGACAGGCAGGTTACCCCCCAGTTCCTATAGCACAAGAGCAAGCACGTGCGTGAGGACAAAGCAGGAAGAGCTACTCTTTTATACTTTTGGGTGCTGCTATTTTTAAGGCAAAATAAGATRCTGTCCAGTGTTTTAAGTTCTAAGTGGGCATTTGTGGTTTACTGTGCATTAAGAATTGATATTTACTGAGAAAGGTGGTGTATCACATACTGGATCCACTTTTGACTCTTCTCTGTCATAAATGTTTAATGCTGATATTAGTGTTTCCTGACGGAAGGGATTTGTGAGTGAGCTACAACATAAACAGAGGAGAGAAAGAAGTATGTGGAAGATAGGAACCAGTAGCTGAACATTACCTTTACTGCACTCCTCCTGCCTAGGGGTGGTCTAACCCAGGTGACATTTTGACTGGGGCAATGTGAACATTCTGCTGTTCGTATGCTTGGAACATTCCTTTCAGGTTCTTATTGAAAGCACCAGGAGAAGTTTTAAACTTTTCTTATGTAAYGAATCAGAAAATGTCTGCACCGCTCAATTCACTCAGTATAACCAGCCATTTTTATAATAGATACTATGCTATTTATAAACTTAAAAAAGAAACTTTTGTTCTCAAAAAGGATAAATTGAGAAAAAAAGAAACCGCATTTTCTCTAATTTTCTAAGAGTTGCACAGATTGAATACTTTTTTTTTYCTACTTAATTTTTTGTTTGCTTCAAATCCATCATAATTTATTTTGGTAAATCCCCCTGGAGCTTCCAGGAGGTATGTTGTCCAAAGAATGCAAGATTCGGCCCCACATTTGAGTGCATATTTTTTGCATATCTGTACCTCTGCAATAGTTTTGATAACCTGTGGACACTGGAATAAACTATTGTTCACTGAAATGCGGCTACATATGAACTTTTTTACGCAATAAAACTTACGAAATTTGTAAAGCTGAATTAATTTCCTTGAGCAGCTCTTGGGTCTTATTAAAATCTGCCAGCATGCTTTGTTTCTCTCTGATGTGATCTGCTGTCAAGACATCCAGCTCTTTCTCATGTTTCTTGCTTAAATCTTGCTCATGTATCCTGTTTGATTTATTTTTGTTGAGAAAAGAGTTATTCTAAAATCAGACTGTTGGTTCATCAAGATTTTCTGCTAGGCTTTTAATGACTTTCACGCAATAGCAGACAACACAGAAAGGGATTTCAGAATCATCAAAACCTACTACTTACTGTCCCCTCTATTCTTCTAGCTTATTTCGTGGGAAACACACATCTCCTTTAATGCTTTTTAAAATAAAGAAACACAATGAATTTTTAAAAAAACACTTGAGAGGACTGTAACTCAAATAAGCCAAAATATGTTATTGAAATGCAGTTTAACTGTATCGTAACATTCACTAAGTTTACTAGTAATGGACATTGCTTTTTCTAAAGAAGATTAAGCAGGATATGACACCACTTGACTAAAAGCTTAAACTGAAAGCCACAAATGATAAAATACCTTAAGGAAAATAATATGGGACAGAATTTTTAAGCTTTGAGTAAATAAAATCATACCTGATCTGTTGGTTGGATTCACTGCGTATTCTAAGAACTTCTTTCCCTTTAAACTCTAGTTCCTTGGTCAGGGCACTTATATTCTCATGAAGATGCAGAATCTCTTTATCCAGCTCAGCTATATGATGGTCTCGGTGCCTTAGTTCATCTTGCAAATCTGATATTCGACATAAAAATTCTTTCTCCTATAATATAAGTAGCAGCAGCAAAAAGTACTTTATTAGAGTTGTCTCTCAGAAGCACAGCACTGGCTTTAGGAAGATGGTAGTAGATGGAGTAGAACTGTCCATTCACTGGACACTTCTTTTTTTCCACTTTTTGGATGTGGATACAAATTGTAATTGAAACTAAGAGACTTTGGTTTTTCACTGGGTAGAAAAGCAATTAATGAATAAATCAAAGTAATGTAACAAATGCAATTCTTGAGAGAAGATAAAAGGTATCACCTTGTGTGAAGCAAAAAGGAGTGCTGAATGAACTACAGAAACTTTTTTACAGGACACAGCAATCCTTCATTCACTGGGTATACTTCAATCTGCACAGGAAATCGGACATGTCTTACAAACAGAAAGACCAGTTTTTCTTTGATCTGGACAGTTTTTTAATCAATCCAAGTGCTCTTCATTTTCCACATGGATAGTATTTTGGTAGTTTTTTTAGTAATTCCAATAGCTTAATAGAAGGAGAGGCAATGTCCAGCCTCACCTTCACCCCCACGGGGCTCATGTTGACAACTACTAAACAGGTTTTAATCAGCTGGAATAAAAGTAAGTAGCGACTTGTGAATTGGTGCTGAAATGCTAGAATCAGCAACTTAACTGCTGATGTTAAGTTCCTATTGCACATTGGTGCTAATTCTGTAATGTTTTTACAGCAAAATACATGTCTAATCCAGTACTAGTGCATTTTCCTTTGGAACCCCAGCAGTTATATTCATGTCCAATCTGGTCAATTTTTGTCTATTTTCCTGGTTTCTCTTGTGCAGGTCAAGAGTGCTCCTCGTGGGTTACTCCAGGAAATGAACATTTAAGTGYGTATCTTGTCCTAAGTCCCCAAGGAAACATACAAGGGTTTTAGCAAACCAGCATTTCCAGAAAAAGATTTATTGGCAACTAATCATCAGATAAACAACATGAACCAATGACCAATGCAGGATGTTGACGGGTGGTTTGTTCACCAGAGTTTTTGATTTGGCCATAGTGAAAAGCTGTATATGGGAGTACAGAGATGGGCATCTACATAAGGGACTCTGCAAAGGTTTTCAACCTAGAAAGGCCCATATGATACCGTATCTTGGTGACTGACCACAAAAAAGTGAAAAAAAAAACAAGTGAAAGAACAAAACAAAACAAAAACCTCTTATGAGGAAACAAAAGGACAGTCATAGTTAGATGGAAAAGCATAAGATGTGTGCACTGCTCCAACACACAGTGATTCAAGTCTTCTCTCATAGACCTATAAGTACAAACATATATATATATATATGTGTGTGTGTGTGTGTGTGTGTGTACACACACACACCATATATAGATATATATGCTGGTATGTGTCCATCTAAGCAAGCCACTTATGTATGTTTTCTTTCTTTTTTTTTTTTTTCTCCAAAAAAAAATCTGTTGGTAGAAAACAGCATTTCAAATGTCCTTAGTTTTATGTATGCTTTCAATGTATACTGGATTTATAATGTATCCAATAAATCAATCAAGTAATTTATTTTGCATTAGAAATTCTAATGCGCTTAACTTCTGGGAGATTATTCATTCTAATTCATTTATGCATCCATGGGAAGCTTTTCTGGAATCCATYTGGATCCCATCCTAATGATTTTGATGATTCTGCTTGTTTTAGAATAAGTCTGTAATAAAATTAACTACTTCATTTTTTGCAGGGTTCTCCACTGCCATCCATTCAACTTTTTCAGCTCCACAATTAATGATTATATCGTTTGCACAAACAGGCAAGTCACAGACCTTTCAAAGTAGTTTTATGTAAAATTGCATGGTTTTCAGCCTTCATGCATTCAGGAAATACAAATATATTCTAAGGTATACTTGTATAGCACAACCTTAAAAATAGTACCTTAAAAATAACTATGCTTCCCTACACAAAAACTACATAAAGGTTGTAAGAAAAGTATGTGAATATAACTTTTCCACTGCACTAAGAATTTTAAAAAATCAGCAAATATAATCATCCTTTTCTGATATTCTTCTCTGCTTCCACTTTCATGATGAAGCATTCTAATACAGGAAACCAGTTAACTGTTAATTTGACGCATACTTAAAGCATACGGCATATCACTAAAACAGAAGCTGGGGAGCTCACTATACTAAGTCCAAAGTATTTGGCATTTTGTAGGATCAAATCCTTGATTTTGCACTTTGTTTCTAACACATCTGCATGGCTTGCTCTAGGCTTAACAAAACACAACTACATTTACTTAAATCCTGCATGTTTCTTTCACTGCAGATCGCACCTCCCCTTTGTCTCTCATGCTGGTTTACAGGCATGAGCACTAAACGGGAGAAGGAAGGAGTCACCTTTTACTGTGCTCTTTGTGTGCATATGAAGGCTAAGTACCTGTTTCATCTACCAATACATTTCTAAAAGCACTGCACCTCTCTGCTACCAGACTATTTGTAAAGCAATCCTGAAAAGCCTCCTCTATATTCAAAAGAGAAATAATTTCCTGGTCCTCTTATTTCCATGGCTCTCATTCAATGGAGGTGAAGCTTTAAATGTTTAGTTACTACTTGTAAAACTGATTCTGCACAAACCTCAGCATACTCTGAGACGCCTGGGAAGTTGCCTGAGAGGAAACTGCCCTAACTGGGAATATTTTATAAGTCTCCTAGGGAAGTTTGCTGAAGGAAGAGAAAGTTAAGGTGGCAAATTTACCTCACTGGCAAGTGTGCAGAATCTACTGGTGCAGGCTGGCTCTGAAGGATTCAATTCCTCCCTGCGCATTCCTAAGTTACTGCCTCCAAGCTAACAGAAACCCAGTGCTGACGATGCGTTTTTACAGTAAGTTCCCAGTAAAACCTCATACCTGCCGTCTGCCGAGTTCGATGCTTCTCTCGAGCTCCAGCTTGGCAGCCACCAGCTCCTGCTGGTGATTGTGCCTCAGCTGGTCGATTGCTGCCGCGTGCTGGTGGTTTAGCTCCGAGCGCAGGGACGCTGGTTACCGGGGATAAAAGAAGAAGTCTAGTTTGCAGATGTTTTAGTTAACTGTAACAGACCAGCTCCTTCAAGCACTGCTGCTCACCCGACACACACACACACTGTTTATGGCAACCATGTGTTAAATTTCAATTTAGTAGGTTGTACTTGCTGCACGTCTGCAGCCAGACTATTGAGAATCAGATCTGTTCCATGTTAAAACGGAAATTAGAATAAAACTCAGGATGATGGCTTCTGCTTCCTGCTCCAAACACAGGGCCTATTACATAAAAACATTTATGACCAGATTTGAAAATAGAACTTAATTTTCCAAGTGCATATACCTGAGCGCATTATTCAAGCTCAATTACTCAGGTATAGGTAACAGAACAAACATACAACTTCACTTCTGCAAAGGGGTTACTTATGTACGTACTCAACCATCTGTACATCTGAAATTAGAATCTTAAAAAGCATCTGCAAAAGAAACCTCTTTAAAGAACAAGTCTCTAAATGCAGTCTCTACTGAATTCTTACCTGTGTCCGTTTGCTTTTGCCATTATTCTAACAAAAACTCCCCAACTACGCTACATAGGGAAACTCACACTCTTTTAATACATTTGTTCTCTTGAAAATAGTTAGTAGGGAAAGCCTTATGTGTATTCTCACTTTACAGAAGGGGAAATGAGGAGAACACAGGTGAAGTGACCTCCCTTAGAAGTCTGTTGCAGTCAGGGGGTTCCAGCCGATCTCTTGAGCTTACTCAACAGATTATTCTTCTTCCTTTGAACTATGTTACACTTTCTCCTCATATTTAGTATTTACTTTTTGGGTAAAAAAATAACAAATAAATAAGAATATGTGGTTGAGTTTTGTAAGTTCATCACTATAAAGATCTTTTCTCCATTTTTGATTTTATTAGCTCTGACACTGACATTCAAAATATCAAWTTGGTAAATACTACTGCATTAATTTTTTCCTACGTTTTCTGTCAATTGCTCTCAACACTACATGTTAATTGTGATTCATTTATACTGGTCAGGTAATTCATGGTTCTGAAATACTTTCTTAAGCCTTTATTAAAATTGCTCTCCACTTCTTCTTATACCTTCAGTGGCCTTGTTCACTAGATCCTGTAATCTAAATATTCACTGTCATAGGTTAAGCAGGTGAAAGAGWTTTCAATTTTCCTTTTCTGGGTCCTTTACCACAGGGATATCCTTGCCTAGATGCATGCTAAACTTTTACTCATGATCACAAGCAAGGATGAAATACTACTTTCCAGCTGCAGCACTTGCCTCTAATTATGAGTTGTGCTGCTTTTGAGGAAAATAAGTTTGTGTTATCTTCCTCTGCACTATATGGAAGATCTGGATATAATCCTCAACTCAATCTTCTCATTCAATGGACATATTGATTTTGTTGCTAAGCTGCATGTCAGATGCATTTTTAAAACATTTTGAGAGTCTCTCCTTACTTGAAAATGACCCAACTAACTCTGTAGTGCTTACTTTGGTTTTCTCGCCCACTCCTTTTCTATAAAGATATCTTTGCTGGTGTCAGCTCATTCCGTATTAACCGCACTCTGCCAGGGCTTACAAGCCCCACTCTAAACCCCACTGGTTTTAGTTGAAAATCCCCAAAGCAATGAGCAGTTACCAGCAGAGTATCAACGCTGCAGTTAGCAAGAATTTGGGCTGAAGCTGCCTTTAGTCAGCTTGCAATTCCATTTTGAATTTTTTAACTGTCATTTTTCTATGCACGTAAACAAATTGCCAAGTCAGAAGCACACAAATAATTCAAAGACATGCAGGAGGCACTCCAACTGCACTACAACCCCTGCATGAGCCCAATCCACCAGACATCTTAGGATACCAACAATTTTCAGCCCAGGAAATTCCCAAATCAAGAGTTTGTCTTAGCGTCCAAGGATTTTTTTTTTTCTCTCTCCCATACGCTTGTCTAGATTAAACTTGTGTAACTAAAGGATTTTTTTTTTTTTTTTTTTTTTTTTTTATAGTGGGAAGCCTGAGCTAATCAAAGTGGAAAAGATGCTGAGCGAATCGAGAGAATTAAAAGGAAGAGAGACGATGTCTCCTGACAGGACTGAAATTTTTATTCTGATGTGCACTTTACAAGCTGTGCATGCATTCCTCAAGAGGACAAATGTTCCCTAACCACAAAGAAACCCATAGCATTTGCAGTGCTAACCACTTGATACGCAGCACACATGAAGAAAGCAGTGGTTAGAAGTGACACAATTAGTAACTGTGCTTCCTGACACTCTGCTGTAGAGAGAGACTGCCAGGGCTCACACTTCTAAAAAACCACTGCATGTATAAAGCTAAACAACTATTCAGCTGTTCTATTTCTGACCCTTTCTGAAATATTCTCCATCATTAAATTTGGTCACTTATTCTGAAAAAACTTAAGGTTAGATTTTCAAAAGTGACCCATTTTGATTTCTCTGGTAAAGCTTTTGTTGATTTTAACAGGAACAGTTAGGTCTAATTTGGATGCTTTTGAGATGCAGTGCTTTAGCCATTTCAGTTATTATCTACATTTATACTACCCTATTTAGCTTCCATTTATTTTTTATTTACAGTTCTGCACTGTCTAGGCAAAATGCAGGAAGTTTTTGTGTGTGCAATGTACAGATATATTCATGTTAGTGTGGGGGTGTATGCATGCTATATTTCCATGATTAAGAAATAAAGCTTCCCAATCAATTTGTAGATTGGGAAGGGGYATACCTAACATGGCTTTTCCTTCATCCTCCAGCTCAAATCGAAGAGTCTGAAGTTCCTGCTCCATCTCCAACTTGAAACCTTCCATGGCTTGTTTATGTGTTTCTTTCAGTGCCTGAAGTTCTTCTGAATGCTTTTGCTGTAAACGCTCTTCTAACTCCTACAAAATCCAAATGCAGATTAATTATATACCAGTTAAGGGAATTTATAAAATATTGAACAATAATTCAACCGGCAACAAAAATTAGGCACTAGCATACTCTAGAAAGCATTAAAAATGCATTTATATTGCTTGCATTTGCTTCACTCACTAGATTACCACACTACTGTATTTTTTTCTTCTCCATGGCTGGTGGTTATCAGGATAATCTGAGTACAARAAGAGTAGGGCTACCTTGTGCTGTCAGTTGGAAACAGGGAAAAGACAGACAAACAAAAACATCTATGGTTATGTTCAGCCAGAGCAGCTAATTAAGAGCAGATCCATAGAGGGGCCTAGTGTTTACTATAAACATTTGGTGCRGGACAGGGTTACTCTCCATTCAAGTACATGAAGCTTAATGCTGCTGGAGCACATCATCTGATTCCATTTCACACACAGCAAATCCAACTTGCGTGCTCCAAGGCCTCCTTCTGAGGTGAACCAAAGCACAACCAAGGCATAGTAAGTGGGGATAGCTGGGAAACTCCCTTCAAAAGTAAACTCTCAATCTGAACTAAAAGTTTACCCTACGAAGCACCAATGCACTGTCAGAATTCCTACTTCCAAGTAATTTTTAGTCAAGGTATGTAGAAAATATCTTCTAGACACAAACATTACCTTGGAAGCCTCAAAACAGAGCTTATTGGATTTAAAACACAATGAAAATGTAAAATACATCACAAAAGTAATCAGTTAGAATACTGGAAAACATGAAAAACGAGATAAATATAAAAGAAAAACAAATCTCTTCCAGAAGAAACTCAGAACTACAGATAACAATCTCAAGCTACTGTAAAGATATGTGTGTTGATAATCATCATACAAATAATACAAAATAAGAGTAGGAAGCAAGATACTAAGTAACGCCAGTATTAGAGATGACTTTCAATATAACTTAAATAGATTTAGCTGAATAACAACATCACTTAAGTACATTACTTGAAAAGGAAATGTAACATTTGCGTGAATACTTTTCTTTACTAGTTTCCACTGTGTATATAATGCCTAAATCTGTGACATTGTCTATGCCTGGGGACATACCTTTTGCTCTTGTTCTTTTGTTTCTTCCATRTTCTGAAAGGCGAGGATGTGGGCTTCCTGGAGAGACTTGTGCCTTTGCTGATGCTCCTCTTCCAACTCCTGGATCTCCTGCGTCAGCCTCTGTCGCTCCTGACTGAACTGGGCTTGTAGCTGCTGCAAAGAGCTCTGGGACTGGGAAAGCTGCATCTCCAGATTCTGCTTCAGCAATGAGATCTAGCCCACAGAACAGTAAATACCAATTAGTCATTAACACCAACTCTGAAAAAATATTCAGAAGAAAAGGTTTGAAATTTTAAATTCAGCATATTAACTAATAAAGGGACAAGCAACGCTGTCAATCTAGTGAATTGGTTTTTAATATTTTAATCTCAGGGATACAGTCATTACATTGGAATAATTTTGCAAGAGTTCTCATATCTGTAAGTTCATAGTACTGCCATTACTGTTGATACTTCACGGCCAAATTAAGTTATCAAAATTCACTTCTACTTTTTGAATAAAAATAATAAAAATGACACTATCAAGGACTAAGTTCAAACATGTGATTTGCTAAACTAAGCAAACTAAACAAACTGYTAATCGGGGGAAGATGGTGCTAATTTTGTACAGAGAATCCTGCACTTGTTAAGGTAGAAAAATGCTTCAGACAAAGTTGCAGGCTATCTCTTCATATGCTATGGACCTTTCTTACTGGTAGCTGTCTGATTTGAAAAAGAGTATCAAAACATTTTATATCAGAAATCAAATATAACACTTTATGAAACCTTTTTTTGTTAGCTCATGGCAGTGTTTTTGTACTGACTTTCATTTAACACCAAAGCCATTGCAGTCACAAGTACTCATTTTCTTAGAAATGCTTCATATTAGCAGTGATGTTTACACTTCAACAAATATTTTAATATGAGTACGCTGTACTCCTTGAAAGAGTTACATTTTCTTTTTATTACAACCAATGTTATACTCTGTTCTTCACATCAGATAGCATCTTTTCAGACAGATGATACTAAGATGATACTATTCCCTGCAGAGCCAAATGAAAACGAGGTACCTTCCAACTCTAGGCAGAAGATTTTAACAAAAAAAAAAAAGTATTCTGTTACAGTGACTCATCAAAAGAAAAATTAACATTGCCATGGAACAAAGTATTTGAATCCGAAAGAGTATTTTTTAAGTCTGAGAATATTACATACAATTGAATCAAAAGAAAGTTTGATAGTGTCATTTGATTTACTGTATCTTACAGTTAATTATGACAAATAAAGACATTTTGCATCAGCATATTGAATTGTAAAACGTTACATCTCACCACTTAACAAAAAAAACAAACAATAGCAGCATATCAAAGGCAACTTGCAGCACGAACATCACCGTTCAACATATTTTTTTCAGAAGGCCACAGCTTAAGCGGTTTTTAAAGGAAAGAAGCTACATTTAAAGTAAAATTAGCATTAAAAGAAAATCAAAAAAAGCAAATCAAGTTAAATGAAATGACCATGGCCTGCTGCATTTAGAAGTCCCCTGGTTTCTGTGTGCAATATGTATTATTGCATACCTAGACACTACCTTCTAACCATACTACTGCAAGAGCACCTTACTTCAAGGACCTTTGAAGGAGATTAAATTATAWTTGAAGGATTACAGTGAAGACTCGCACTATATTCTATGATCTGAACGATACATGGAAAACCTTTTACTGAGGACATTTAATATTGATGTCACATGCAAACTGTACAATGCCAGACCAAAGGCTGTTTAATGTAGCATCTGCCTCCAGAAATGGCCAACTTTTCCCAACAGGGATGGTAACTCTAAAGTTTACCAACACCCAGCAGCTATATCAGAAGAGATAATCTTGCAAAAAAAAAAAAAAAAAAAAAGGAAGAAAAATCAATTAATACTGTCACTATTGAATATAGTGATAAGCTGTGTCATCCAAAACTAAACTTTTATCATCCACAATATCCTGTGTTGATTCCCACAGCTTCTAATAGAAGAACCAGAAGTTCCCTTTTCATTCACCCATTCTACTCATGTATTTGGAGATCTCCATCACATCTCACCTTATTCTTCCAAACTGGCCAGTTTCTTTCTACCAAATCACTCTTTATATGGAAGTAATTTCATATCAACTATCAGCCTTTTCCTACTTTTCTCCTCTTCTCTCGTATCTCCTTTTAAAGACTGGAGGATCAGAAGAGTGTAGAGTGTTCAAGGTGGGAACAAACAGTGGTTTGATATAGTGCCATGGTTTTAGGTGTTATGTTCTCCATTCCTGTTATTTATTCCTAACGTGTTATTTGCTTTTATGACCACTACTGAACACTGAGTTATGTTTCCATGGAATTACACATATATTCCCCAAATCTAATCTCTTTAACTGTAATGTTCAAGTCAAGGTCTGTCATTTCTATAAAAAAAATTGTTTTATTTGTGAATCACTTAGTATTTATATACACTGAATTTTATCTGCCATTTTATTGCCAAGTTCCTTGTTTTTCTTTCTTCACCTCTCTACAGTTCTTCAACCAACCTTTGTCCTTCCTACTCTACCTTAATACAAACTGCAATCTTTTCCACTGTACTTATTCACAAACAACCTGCAAAAAAAGGATGTTGCACATCAGTAGATGTGATGATCTACTGATGACCTACCAGCTTCACTGTGATAAGGCTGTACTTAATTCCTATCCTTCAACCAGTTGCTTATCTATGAAAAAATTCTTCTCCTATATCATGGAGTTACTTCCTCCAAGGTTTTCTGAAAGATGACTTTGGCAAAAGCATTTTGGAAAACAAAGCAGAYTGTATCAACTGCATCACCCTAAGACAGACTTTTACTGACCCCTCCAAAAAAATAARTTAATTCCAAGACAGGGGTTCCCTTCTCAAAATCTATGTTAAGTCTTCCTAAACAGATCATGGTGCCCACAAATTCTTTATTTCTTATACAGTTTCATAGAATCATAGAATGCTTAAGGTTGGAAGGGACCTCAGAGTTTCTGTGAGTTTATCTTGAAAAGACATTTGGCTTACAGGCTTGTCATTCCTCAGATCTTCTTTAGAGCCCTTATAGAGRCTGCCATCCTACTTGCCCACTCATSAATCCTTATGAATCAATGCAGATACAAGTGAGTAACTACTTACTGGTGCCTGTGTTCAAAAGGATCTTCAAAATGAAATTCTTAAGTGAATAAGTACTCACTTTTTCAGCTTGCTTCACACCATCATTTACATTCTCTCTAAATTGCACAGGAATACACTGGATACAACAACGGGCTCCAGTGTGGTAAATGCTCCTTTTTTGGGCATTCAGAGAGGTATTCAGTGTTCAGACAAGCCAATAACACAGCCATACACTGTATTCTGCTCTTCCTCTTCACTCCTGGAATTTCAAGCCATTGCTGAGGTCAGTTTGCAGCACATCACTGCCAGCATGACCAACCTTGTACTTCTGTGTATATTTTGCAATTTCGTGTTACAATGTATTATTGATGGTCCTTCTCCAGGTCCTTCTCTGAACTCACCTATGATCCCTTCTCATTCCCATCTAATCTTATGCACCTTACATTCACAGTTGGGTCCTTGGCTTTCTCCCTATTTTTGTATTCTTATACCTAAGTGGGTCCTTTTCAGCTTTAAGCCTTGCCTCACTCTTTACTTCCTTTTCCTCTGCCTCACTGTAGAGAAAAACAACCAAAAATATCAAAACTACCAGAAACAAACAGCAATCACCACCACCAAAAAGACCTACCAGACTCTGCCTGGAGTTCCCCTTTCTCCCTAACACCATTTGTAGTATCACAGGGAAGTAAAGCTAACATGACCTTATGAGATTTAGCCTAGCTCCATGCATTAGGTCAGACCAATCACAAACTATGGCTTAAAAAACTCCTCTGAAGGAAGTCACACAAGATCCTCTTCCTCCTCTCTGCTGAGGGAGGGCTGTGACAGAGACACCAAGACTGGACGGATGTTCTGTCCACTCTTACATGCCCCTCTGGCTTCTCGAGGTTGTTCTGTCCCTCCTGACACCAGGAAAAGTAACAGCTCCAGAGAAAACCCTGCTCAGCTCCTGCAGAGCCTCAGGCCATGTAATCATCATACTCTGAAAGGTCTTTCGTGATAACATTCAAAGAGAGTTGAATACAGCTTGGTATCTTGGCCAAATTCACATGGATTTATGAAGATGACGAAAGAGTCTATTATTTTGCCTGAGGTTAAATCTCATCCTCATTTAAATTGTTGTTCCAAATTCTAATTATTCTCACTGTATCATTTATAAACATTTTTAGCAAGGAGAAAACAATTATCTTTTAATATAACTCCTGAAACGTAGGAAATATTTTATCTAAGGAGCGTTTTAGAAGTCTGACATCTAGCCAGGCATCTTAGAAGAAGATGACAAAGATCAGGAATACCCTTCTCAAGAGCAGCTCACACTGCGACCAGATGAAAGTGAGTAGAAAAAACACCACCACCACCAAACTCCAACACAGCCTGAAATACGGCAATCTCTGGAGAGATTCGGCAGGCAAGGCATGATGAGGTTTAAGAGACTTCAACAACCAAGCCAGACATCTAATCGTCCATTCTTAAAAGGATTTTTTGTTTAAAGCAAAACATATACCAAAAAAATGACAGCTWTTTTTAAAGGGAGAACAAAATTAAGAATTTGATTATTCTGTATTTATATCCATACTCTTCGGAGGACATTTTTGAAAGTATTAGTGCCTCCCTTCGCATGTCTTTAGAGCTTCTCAATACTCCTATAATAAGGACTTAAGAGAAAACATCTATCTCTGAACACTACCCTCTGAAACTCCATTACTCATAAGGTTTTCAGCAGATTTATAGTTCAAAAAAACAGTTTTGAGTATTTCAGCTACAATCATGACTTGCACTGCAAAACTGCAAATTATAAGACAGCATCAGTCTCATGCTTTGTGGAAAGCTCTACAATACACATTTGCAATGCCCACAAGCTTGCTTTAAGGATGACAAAAATGCTGTTTATGTTATGAGATGTATGTTAGTGCTTGATGTCCAGTGATATATGCAGTTACACAGATGAATGGATGCAGTACAAAAGCTCCAGAGAAATAGTAGCAAACATGTTCTCTTGAATATTATCACATATTTGATTTTATAAGGCTAAAGCTTTAAAGCAGTATTAGAGGACACGCAGATTTAGTAGTGCAAACATGCCCTTTACAAGCTGTAAGTGCAAATCACTTACATTGCTGATAGATTTATGCAAAGCTTCACCGAGACAGTGCCGCTATGAAGAAAAGATCACAGGAATAAAGGGAAACATTCAGAAATCAACTAAGTAAAAGAAAAAGGGATAAGGAAGGGAGAGCAAAACATAGAACATTAATTATAATTTGACCAGGGAAGAATTAGTTGAAGACTATCTGGATAACATGATAAATAACGTTCAGGATAGCAGTATCATTTCAAAGTAATATTATAATACAACCAAACATTTTTTAAATTATCCAACTGGTTCCTCTTCACCATTACGGCAAATAATTTTGTGGAAAAATCATTGAGCACACCAATTTGCATTACTACTGGAAAAGCTATACATTAAAAAAGTTAATGATCATTTGTGTCTCTGAAATACAAGCATATCAAATACTTAACACATTAAAGATCAGATTTCACTGCTAAAAAAGAGAGATCAAGTTTAGACTCAAATAAAGTAAAATTTATATGAAAATGCTTTATTTTTCTAAGATTTCAGAATGAGAAGGGAATATAAAAGATTTTCTGTAATTACCTACCAAAAAAGAGGTCCTGTACCACCTTGTACCAATGTTGTTAACGAAAAACAAAAATATAAACAAACTGCCAAGTAGATACTTCATATAAAGTATTACTGACCATATGTAAAATTTGCACAGCTAGACAAAGACGCACACACACATGTGCCCAAAGGCTCACAGAGGCACTAGAAACAAAGTCAGAGCAATTTAAAACCCAGCATGACCAATTTCTGCTCTTAAAGTGCACAAACAATTCCCACCTTTAGCACCTACTAGTCAAGATGGCGACAGCAGATCAGAGACAGCAGATTTTTATACCAGCTTGGAAGAGTTCATCTGGGAATGTTTAAAAGGTCAGTTTGTCAAAATTTTACAAGAAAACAGTATTCCTCCTTCTGAATTTATTAAATGATTGGCATAAAAAAAAAGAGTGCAAAATCTCAAATTATCTTATTAAATTTGTAAACTCGTGAGAGTAACACTAGGAGGCACCATACTGCAGCAAAGAACARAGTAGCACATTGACAGCTCCAATTTCTACACCTCATTTTGCCAWTGCCAACCTGAGTAAATCCATCTACTTTTCTGGGATTCCTCTCCCATCCGTCTTGTTTTACTTAGGTTGGAAGCTACGGAGAGCTTGAATGCTCTCAATAAATGTTCTGCTTCTAGAATAGTTAGGATTTAATATCAATGATATACTTAGGCACTTCTGCAGTATGAGAAACAAACATTTATCGGCTGTATATGAGTTGACAAAAATCCAGCAGAAAGGCTAGTAATGTCTTACAATGAGAAGAAACTCCAAGTAAAAATACTTYAGGGAAGCAATGTTCTGAGCTGCGCCCTGCCACGTGCGGAGCACTGCAGGTTGCTTCCTCACGGCGAGTATGGAAATAGGGAAAGAACCGCAGCTGCTGTCAGACCAGTCTCAYGACTGATGGAGCGAAGACGGCCTAGCCCTTTCACTGTGTGAGATTCTACCAAGTTTAAAGGTTTTCCTGAGACAGCGAAAACAGAAGGATCATAGACGATCTTTTGGTTAAGGTTCTGGACTACAGCGCTGCAGGAAAGTTCAATTTTTAGACTGGGCACAGACTGCTTATGTTCCTTGACTCAAAGCAATTTTTCTGCAGCCCACACTTCCTGATTAGGAAGTGAGAACAGGAATTACCTTCTGGAAAATAAATTAACTCCGAGATGCTCATCTACTGCAGTGATGAGAATACGAYCAACATGGAGCCACCCTCAAAGTTATTTTTTAAATAGAGTTGGGCTTACATATTTAACGCTTTTCGGTGCTCAGGCACAAAAACTGAGCATACAAAAAATGCAGCTTATTGATTTTTAACACATTTCAAATACACAGGTAGTTTATAAATCTAGAAGTCCCAGTACCACACCACTATTCAAACGCATTTAATTATGGGTTAATTAGCCAAACATTAGTGCTTGAAAAAGAACGGAAAGAACGGAGAAGATGCCACAGGATTCAATTAAGAAAAACTTCAAGTGTGAAGCTGAGATTAATTTCAGTCAGCATGACAAAGAGCTGAGCTAAAGAAAGCTTGATTTCTTGCCTCAACAAGGCTACAACCCTGAACAATAAATGCTGCTATGTAGAAATAACASTTAAGACTTTTTATGGAATTTACTATGGGACTTTTATTTAAATGAGTGTACTATTACAATTTTAGTAAAGCATCCTTTGAAGGATTAAAGACGGTCGATTTACAAATCTAAAAAATCACTCGTGGTGAATCCCAGGCATTCTTTAGGATCAGTATTCAACTCGCTAACAGTTGGTATTTTCATCATTATTAGGAGACAAGACTTTCATAGAGTACATGCATGATAAATTAGTAAACTATAATGGAGTGCAGCCAATTGGCAGAGGGGATCGACTTTAACAAAATACACAGCAACATTATCAGATGTAGCTCCTTATTAAACAGTACGTGGAACACAGTCAGAATGGAGACCTCCAAAATAAGCTAGCCTACCTGAAATTATTATTAAGATATGGAAGAAGACTTGTATATTCATATTTTAAAGTCTCTATTAAAACAGCAAAGTTTGCATCAAAACAAAACAGATTCAGAGATCTGAAACTTATATTCTTGCTTGGGGTCACCAATTTCATTGAAGTTGCTGGTAGACCCGCAGCAATGACTGTCCCAGGGATCATACATACTTATAACCATAGTAAGGTATTTACCTCCAGAAAGGATGGAATGGCGCAGCATTTCAAGATCTGACTTTGGTACCCAGCTTACCGAGTTTTCAAAACACTGTCATTAATAAATTTTTGTGCTAAGTCCTGAGATCCTACATGGGGAACAGCAACTTGCTGTACCAAGAGCAGTACTAGATTACTACACAGTCCTATCTTACTTTAAGAATGAAATTCAACTGATGCTTCAAATATTTCTGAAGGAAGAAAGCCACCTGTATCTATCACATGTTAGTTTAAAAAAAAATAGTCAGTTTAAAATGCTTATTGAAGAAACTGAASAGACCTTTGGCATAAGTCCATTTTATCCGCTGAAAATAGTAATAAAAAAGTCAACAAAGTAAATTATATCTTTTTGTTTGAAGAGAAAGACTGATTTGTCAGCAGATTCACCATTTCTGCTGGTGCTTATGCAGCTGCTGATTATGCAGAGATTCGGAAAGCAGCTGTTTCTACTCCAATGTTTTGTATTTGCTTGAGGCTTGTGACATACTAGGAATGTAGGAGCTGCACCAAAGGTTGCCCTCACCGGCTGATAGGAAAAAGCAGTATTGAGGGTCCCTTCTTCCATTTCCCTTTCTTCTCTGAAAGAGAAGGCTTCTTCTCTTTATATAAGTATAATTTGAATATAAGTATAATTTGAATATGAAGTTGTGGTGAAAAAAAGTAAAACGCTAAGAAACATACTGAACAGAATGGAGGATAACACAACATAAATGTTTTTTTTTTTCCATAATGAGTATTGTATATAGCAAATTCTTGGTGTTTACAAAATTACTGATGTTCTAAGATTTATGGCAAGATAACAGAAGTAAAAAAAAAAAAAAATGTTAACTGCCAACAAATGAAACCAAAATTATTTTAGACAACAGTTAGGCATGAAGAAAGTACAAAAATAACAGATATCTCAAAAAGAAGTAGTTTGAAGACTCTAATTCCGGTGTTGTAAAAAAAAAAAAAAAGAGAGAGAGAGAGATGCTCGGTGATACTACAGAGTCAAATTGAAAACAGAAAGCCTACAATAAATTTCATAACTTAGGTGAGGAAGCAAAACACCCAAAAAAAAAAAAAAAAGAGAATTTTACCACTGAAATTAGGATGATCTCCCAAATACTACTTAGGTTATAATTGTTGATGATAGGGGAAAAAACAGATTTTGGAAACAATGTAAAAAATAGTTACCTTGGGATATATGGTAATTCTGAAGTATTAAGCATTCAAGGAATACTTCCATGAACGGATATTACCACATTTTTTGCTTATTGTGGCTATAGTTTACATCAGCTAAAGCTGATTTTGGGTAARACACTTAACTAGAAGATCCTCCACTCAGAATATTTGTCTTTAGACTTTTGCAATTTATCCTTTCTCTGGCCCTGTAAGTCTTGCTTCTGTTTTTATTTTCGTCTTTTCCTGCWTTCAAACATACAAAAGTCCATCTTCTTTGATGGAAAAATGGAAGGAGTGCTATTCTGAATATGGCAGTCTGGATTACATGATTATTCTTAGACCCACATACTGAATTTTTGACTTTCTGAATACACAGGTTCCCAACTCAGAATTTAGGAACACTGACAAGATTTCCTCTAAGTCATAACTGAGTGCTGGAATGCTTAAGGCACTGGATCGCAAGTCCTAAGGAGAAACTCCCACAGCTCCCCTTGTTCTCAGCAAGTCCCTAAGGAGCTAGAGCATCGCTCCATTAAGGCCACACTATTAAGAGTTGCAGCCACTTCTGACAAGCTCCCAAGAGCTGCAGAAAGTAGTGTCTAAAAAAAGGTCTAAAGATGGAAAAAAGATGCATACAATCTTATCTTGAACCCCTTTCCCAGATGGTCTGTTTGCTTAGCATATATACACACACACACACACACACACGTTTAATATATATGTGTATATAAATCCTTGGGGCAAAAGGTTTTGAAATAAAGCCTATCATTCACTTGACATCACGTTAGACTTAATATTATGTGGGTACAAAATGCACGAGCAGGGAACTAGCATGGAGAAGCAGCTGGCTTCAAGTTTACATTCCATCTGACACCAATTAGACAAGTATTTACTGTGCTCTTGGCAACATTATGGGAAAGGAAACAAGAGTAGAATGACAGTAYGCTAAATAGTTGATTGGAAAAGGATGCAGAGCCACATGCAGATCTTTCTTATAGATCTTTCTGTAGAAATTTACAGCATCCATTTGACAGTAAACCTTTTTAACCAAGGTTTACCCAGATGGTGGAACATGCCACTAATCCTTGGACCCAGAAATCGGTGTATCTTGATTCTTCTTGTGTAGGTGCAGGCCAGCTCTGAGGTAACCACTTCCATGCAAGCAAATACTGACCCAGTAGTAACCGGCAGTGTCCCTCAGGCCGAGGGCTGATGAGGAGCCACCTCGGTGACACAGAGCACCTTGGCGCTTTTCCACAACCCTCCACCTCACCCAYGGGAGCCGAGTCAGCAGCCAGGACTGGCAACTGTGTACCAGAATATGAGAGAAGGACCAGGGGAGCTGCATGTGCTAGGAAGAAAAAGTTCACCAGTGACCTGGGTTGCAGCAACAAGGCAGAAAATCAGAAGCCGTGGGTCCTGCTCTGTAAGGCAGGGCGCCGCGGGCAGGCAGGCAGGCAGCCTCCTCACCGCACACACAGCGCTTCAACACAGCTCAACTTGCAGCCCCACGTGCTACGCACATGCAAACCAGAACCTGTTTGCTAGTGCTGGGAGAGAGAAGCTTCATTTCACACGAGAAAGACAATACTTGGTAGGTGTTATTGAATTCAAAATTCCTCCTCAGCATTTCCTTAAGATTAGCATCCTTTAGCTAATTTTACCAAACTTAATACACTTTTGAACCAAATCAAATTCTGTGAGATCCAAGGGAGGCCACTGACTGAAAGTTTCTTTTGTTGATCCCTTCCATCCACAACTCCACCCTCTAAACCCAGTCTTTAGTGTTTCACTTCTTAGATCTGAACAGCATTAATTAATTTTCTGGATCTCTAAGAAATGAAGACCTAGTAATTACTTCTCAATTACTTTTAAAAGAGTCTTGAATCCTCTGAGAGCTACAAATTTGAACAATCTAGTTGAGAAAGATTTTGTTTATAATAAAAAATAAATAAAAATAAGTTTCTCATATCCACTTTCAAGATGTTRAAAAAAGGAAAAGACTCCACCATAAAACCAAACTCTTTGACAAGAAATCTCCTACGATCATTTCTGAAATAGGAAAGAGCCTTTGGAAGAGGAAAAATAAGCAAAGGGCTACCAAAGCAGGTAGAGTATACTTTTGTCCATTCTCACTGGAAAATGGTTAGTGCTTCCATTCATACAAGATGGTACCTTAGATTTTACAAAAAATTTTTTCTGCATTTAATTCTTCTGATATTTGAGCAATGCAAAATCAAGCAAGGAAAACAAACGTTTAAAAAAGAGAAAATTCTTTTTATATTGTTCATAGTTGAAGCTTTCTCAGCAGCAAAATGTTTTTAATAAAAGTGCTAAAAGAGCAAGAAGCTAACACATCTGAATTCTCTGCATATTTCATGAAGAAACTCTCACATGGATTGATATTTTGTAAAATTTAAAAGAAAAAAAAAAAAAGGAAAAGCACTTTCCTTTTCAGACTTGGTCTCCAGACACCAAGCCCACTTAACCTACTAACCACAGTGGCTGTAGATGTAAATGATGCTTTACATTTTACCACATTTTGGTAAAAATGTGTTTAAGCTCTTGATCAGCTAAATAGCATTTTTTCCTCACAGAAATTATTTTTCTCCTTACACACTATTTCCACAATCCTGCAAACATTCTATGAGAGACCACTTAATATTAATGGCATAGAAGAGAAATATTGTCTTGCTTTACATCAAACTTACATGTCACTTACCAAAAGTGCAGCAGCCTATAGGAGGCAAACTGGCATAACTCACACAAAAGCTTAAAATACTTTATGGTCATAAATTACCAGGAAACAGCAGTCGTTTCTCTCTCTTTCTTAACAAGTATGAGATGCACTAATACATACTGGAATATAACATACCAGTAGGAGTGCGAGTATATCAACTTATAAAGCAATGCAATGTCTTCCCAATTAAAAAGACACCAGACTGATAGTGAGGTCAAGCACGTCAATTTTCATTATTCGGCACTGGACACGGTACATGAACATGATTTGGGGAGAAGGGGAGATGAACTGGATGCTGTTCACGTTGACTTGAGCAAATTAATATTGTTGCATCCAAGTTGGGACATGATTTAGATGGGAGGACTCCCTGGTGGGCGAGTCCTGGCTTATTGGGCTGGAAGGGGAATAGCCCACAGATCACACACTACCTGTTGGAAGAACAGGCCAGTAGGGACCTAAGAGATTGAGCCATGACAAACACAAAGCCTTGTGCCTGGGATGGGCTCATCTGCAGCCCTAGTACAGACGGGGTCTCACTGGATCTGCAGCGAGGAGCGTGGCGCTCCCGGCGGACGACAGGAGTCAGTTGGCAGCAGGCAGGCAGGCGAGCGGCGCMGCGCTGGCCGCTATGAGCACAAGCACGCGTAACCTGGAGGCAGGGGGAGGCAGCCAGCACCCTGGAGCGGCACCTGTCAGGCTGCAGATGTGCAGCACTGCAGCCAGCGCGGGCAGCCCCAGGACGGGGCGCGCGCTGGTGAATGTGAACAAGCTCAGCGGAGCTCCGCCACCRAGACGGAAGGTGCTGGAGCAGTGCAGGGAGAGCCCGAGGCAGGCAGGTTCCTTCAGTCTGCAGAGAACTTTCAAACCACTATAAATCAACCGTTCAACAGAAACACTGGTAACGGAAATGCAACAAGCAGATAAAAGTGGAAATAAAAATCCTCTACTTTAGTTTTAGTGCTTTTATGAAATGAGACAACTCTTTGGTACAGCAGGAACAACAACAGCCATTTTGCATTCGCAAATTACCTTTTATGTGCACAAATTCTCCAGTAAAACTCTCCGCTTGACTATTACCCTCCCAAGATCTTTGATTCTAAGATTTCATTCACACACATGAAAAAAAAAAAAAACCCTTGTTCACTTGCACCATGTTTATCACACATTTTCCCTTCTGAAACCACAGATTAGTTTTACTGTGGAAGCACTGAAAGGAAGAGATAAGTATTTCAAAAGTAGATTAAAATTACATAAAGATGAACATTTTTGTTGTCATATCACTTGCAAATGGTACTTTACTAGGGAAAAATGCTATCTATAGACTGAAGTAAAGACAGTAAATGGAGCTTGGGCAATGGTAGTAAATGAAACTTRAAAGAATTAAATGAGTCTAAGTCTTTTATTAAATTCACATCATAAAAAGTAACAGACCAAGGACCGTGAAAGCCTGCATACTTTATGAGCTTATGTTACAGAATTTTATAAGCTTACATCTCCTTGGTGACAAAACACAGGAAATTAAAGGTTCCTACAGGAAACTCATGCATGTTTGGTTATTTGAATTCTCAAAGTAGACAGCAAATTTCAAGTTATCCCACAAGCCAACCCATTAAATGGCTGTGATTTCAATCAGTGTCATTTAAGGATTTCCACAATCTGTTTTGCTTATTTTAAAAAATGCACTTGTTCATATTCAGCTGTTCTTTCAAGCTTCAGTCAACAAAACCAGTGCTGCAGCACTTACGGCTTGGAAAAAACCTTAGAAAACCAATAATTTTCGGGAATTATCAAAATGCTAGTATAAATATCAGTATTTATAATCAGTATAATCAGTAAGCCAGTATTTATTTTAAAAAACTCAGTATTTATCAAAAGCTACACCAAAACAACGTTTGAAGCTACTCAAGAGAGTGTGTAAGTGTATTAAATGTGTTGTGGAAGCTACGGGATGTTCTCACTTTGCAGTTCTTTGTACATTATCACTTCCTTAAAGTTAAAAGGTCATCACCAAGCAACCAGCACTGGTAAACATTTGCAAGTCAGTATGTCAGCAAACAGGGAACCAAAAAATATTAACAACAAAGAGATAAATCAACTTCTCGCACCACGTCCAATCCCCAACCCTGATCCCAGGCCTGTGCTGTTCCTTGTCCTTCCTCCCCTACCATATCACTTAAAACTTTCAGTAGTGACTAGGCTTAGAAAGCGTCATGCTACCACATTTCATTCTAAAAACAAGTGCCACAATGAATTTAATGTAGTTAATAGGTAATAAACCATCATCACCTAAACTGTAACAGCCTTCCAATCCTCAAAGGGGCATCATAGTTACCTGGTCTAAAAGGTCTTCAACTTTTTTTTGCCATCCATCCCTGGCTGCATTTTTTTCACGTTCCTTTAGCTGTAATAGCTGGGTCATGGCTGCCTTTTTGTCCTCTTCATGCTGAAGTCTCAGCTCTTCACGAAGCTTATTACACTCCTGTCTAAAAGCAAAGGTGAAATAATTAAAATACCTTGTTAACAAAACAATATATAAACTTGTATATATAATACCTTGACCTTGTATAAGAAGTGAAAAATTAAGGCAAACTGAGCAGCACATTTCACTTGCTATAACACTTGCATATATTTGCTTCCTTATTGAGAGGATAAGGAACAAAAATTAACACTTGCCGAAGATTTTCTGTCCATTTTATTTCCAAGTCACGGGCCATTCTGTCAACTTTGAACTTCTCCTCTTCTCTCATGGCAGCAATCATTAGCTCATGTTGTTGCCTCTCCTGATCTAGTTCTCCCTGCAAACACAAACTTCACAATAGAGACTGATCAGCAGTAAAAAAGTTTTTCAAAGCTCAGATGAATGTTCTTGTAATAAAGTGTCTGTTACTATTGACTTTAAGGCATTGAACTCTTTTACAGTGCATATCATAATTAAACCTGCTAATGCCTTTATTTCTGCTGAATATTTCTTATAGAACCTGATTCTGCATTCTTATAAAAAGCAAGTTTATATTAGGTCTCTTTGGAAGTAAAGACTGCAAATACTATTATACTGCATCACATAACTCAGGTTTGAAACAACTAGAGATCTTGCAGACTAGTGGAATACACGGCTAATTTGGATTTAGAACGAGTTGTTTTGTGTCTTGCACAGTCAAGACCTTTTTCATTTTTTTTTTTCTTGAATCAGTGAATATTCAGTACTTGAAAATCTGAAATTCAAGGTTTAACTATTTGCTGAGCTACAACGTGCCCGTATCTTCTATCAACTTCTTGACAGTACAAGCCTGGAAGACATAGTTTTAGTCTAAATAGAGAAAAAAAATGTAGAATTCATATAACCATTTCTGTTTCAAATTTACAGTATTTAAATAGTACTAGGTATTACCTAAAATTCATACTTACACTGAATATGTCAGTGGTGCTTGCTTTATTCATGAAAAGCAAACCTGACCAGCCTCTAAATTTAATTACCACTTTTCAAGGGAGACAGTCTTTGTAGGCTTTTTTTTCCCATTTATATTTTAAAATCTGCCGAGATAACCATCCTCGCCAATAATCTCTTCTATACGAGCATTTAGATGTTACAATAGTTGAAAAGAGAAGGATCTAGTAATCCCGATAGAAGGTAGGAGAAGTTACAAAATATACAGCAGAAGTTATAAACGATAACAGGGGGCCATACCTGACTAATATTGTTGAAAATAACAACTTTGTGTATTTGTGTGTATGTGTGTGTATATATATATATACACACACACACACCCCAAAGACCCCAATTTAAGTTATTTTTACTAAGAAAGCACCTGACAATAACAGATTAGGGATCTTTTTCTTGAATGTTTGTTGCTCTGCTTCAAATATTTGATGGGATCTTCTAAGTGCGCATTGCTTATTGAGGAATGAAAAAGAAAAGGTTATACTTAGCATTAAAGTCAATGAGCTACTGGAGGATACTGACAGTTTCAGAACTTTACGTTCTCATCACTGCTCTTTTAAAAAAGTTAGTAAAAAAGAAAACATACAATGAAATATTATATGTCATTCTCACATGATTTTAGAGAGGAATAGTATAGCTCAAGGTGGMCACAGAGTTCAGAATGGCAAATAACCCCGCTTCCCAGAAAACTGTTTTTAGAGGTGYATGCATCTTAAATGATCCATTCTGAGACCTGCTTTGTGTATACAGAAGCTTTACAACTTCCATACTATATATGCTATAATAGATATAGCTATAAGCTATACGATTTTTCCCTGCACAGACACAAAACTGCCTGGAATAGCACTGGTGTAACCCACATCCTTCTTACATTCTCATGAAATTCTGCTAACTCAAACCACTGAAAAATCTGATTCTCGATCTATTTTATAGGGACATATTGTACTTTGGCACCTAAAGTTTTTATTAACTAGAGAGATATGTTTTTAACTATAACCATTTAATAATAGACATGTTCTTTAAAAGAAAGAAAATAAAAGAAAAAAAACAGACTTTTGATCTCTACTTGAAAAATGAAATAGTCCATTTCTGTGAAACCACATGGAACTCCTTTTATAAAAGGTACTGTATAACATTTTTTGCCTTTTTGGCAACAAAACCAAAATCACTATGACAGTAATTTGCATAATTTATTCTCCAACATTATGGTTACCTCAACATTATACAATGAATCTGTGGTTTCTCGCAATCTTGCTCTAGTTAATTCTAGTTCTTTTTGGAGTATTTCCTGAGCTTCTTGAAGACTGGAAATATGTCCTTCTGCAGTTCCAAGGCCTTGCTCACTTTTTCTTACAAGGTCCTGTAGACGACACACCTACAACACAGAAAAAAATATGTATCATTTAAGTAATTACTACTCATGGCAGACAGAAAAATCACTGTGTTTTCATTTTCTTCTAGGAATTTCTAATTTCATCACAAACTACTACTTTTCACTGCACAGCCTCTTCTCCTTTCATACTACTTAATGATCATGAATTATAAAATGAAATTCCATAATGTCATAAATTTAAATATAAATATTCATATTCAAGGATTTTACAAAAAAACTCCATTCTATATTTGAAGCATTTTGCAAAGTACTAGGTTATCTAAAATTCATGAAATAACCTGGAGTTCTATTAGGGGAAAAAAACATGCTGTACACAATTCAAAATCATGATGATAATCGTTTTTAAATTCACAAAATCTAATACGTATCTTTCACTAGGATACATTCCTCTGTCTTCAGATTGCTACCTGCCTGTGAATTAGCCCATTTAAAGCTCAAATATCTGTAGAGAATAGCATGATCAGTTTTGTAACTGCTGTGTAACAGAGCATTTCTCTCTGTGCCTTAGCTCCCCATCTCTCAACTATTATTAGACAAAATATTAGACAAAATTGTTAAACATCCATAGGAAAGTAAACAATTATCTAAATAAGTTGGAAAACAGAACAAAGGGAGGGCAAATGGCAGGGGAAACAAAAACAGCAGCCAGTAGGAAACGATGTTTCTGCAGAAGCCTCTGTATGTTAAGCATAACCCAGGAAAAAAAGATTAAATCCTGAGTGCATGCCTATGTTCCCTTGCATTATATGCAATTACAACTAGTAATTTCCTATGAAATGCTATTACTTGAGTAAGAATTTCTTTCTGAAAATGAAAAACTCAGAAAATAGCCTTGAAAACTGAGTTTATTCTCAAGTTGCATCATTCTAGCTGGTGCCTTTGCCGTCAACAGCGTATGTTTCTCAGGTACTCATTCATGAGTCATTTGGATGAAACTAGTTTAAAAATGAGTGTATGACAGCCAAGCAAAAGACCAAAATAATCAATTTGTAAGAATATTTATTCAGAAATAAAGCTGTACTGAGAGTAGAATTAAAACAGACTGCAATATCAATATATTGATACAGAAAAAAATAAATTTGCTCTTAAAATAAGAATTACAAGTCATCTGTTTTTGGAAATATCTGAAGACCATTTGCAAGTAAGGAAATTAAGCAGGATTTACAATATACTAAATACTAAAAATGAACAATTGTGTTTAAAATCTGGCCTAATTTTTGCTCTCTCTCTCAAAATATGTTGTGTGTAGAAACTGAGTACTTAATATGAAGATAAGCAGAGCTAAAATAAGAAAGACTTTACACAGATTCTTTTTTTATTTAAATATCTCTTTTTATTTTCTGTAAGAAAAGTTACTGGCCTGCTTCTGAGCCTTGATTTTATCATTTCACTTTAAATAGACATAATGCACTAAAGAGGCTGAAGAGCATAAGCCTGGCCTAGCATGGACTCTAAACATGAATCGAGCATGAGAACACTATTGATTAGATGTGGTCTAATGCACTTGGCTGCTAGCTGATCTCATTAAGTTGATTCTTGCCTCCTGGTTGGCCGAAGTCAGTTTGGTTGTCAGTTCTTCCCGGAGGTTTTCCAACTGCTGTCGGAGCTGACTCTTATCCTCCTCCAGGTGCAGTTTTTCCTTCTCAAACTGCTGCTCCAACTCCTTCAGAAATAAGAAAAAGGGGGGATACATCAAACACTTGCCATATGGGTATCATGTAGCACAGCTATGAGAATGCTTGCAAACTGCAAGCTGCACTGGTCTAGGCAATGGGAGTGAAGAGAACTGCAGTTTCCTCTGCTGCCCACCTGAAACACAAGTGTTACATTGAAGCAGTCTACTTGAGACATGTAACAAAGGGAAACAGTTCAGGATATTCTACAGTATCTTATACTAGCCATGACTCTAACAAGAACTGCCATTAAGTAAACGACATCAGTAAAAAAGGAAAATTCCCTGCCCTTGTCAATTCAAACTTTGATGTGACTGTTAGCATTCCACTGCTCCGTAACATCCAAAGATTCAAATTAAAAATATATCGAATGGTATATTTTTGGTTCTGCATAGATAATTACTCCAGAGTAATGAAGACCATTTTTATCTAAACCATCATTTTTGATACTACTTTCAAAATGCCTTTAGCACTCTGATTACTCCTATATATCCACTTGGTAAAATGTAATTTTTAAGGCACTGAAAGTTAAGTCAGTAATTTTCAGTAGCAAATTTCTTCCAGGTGCTGTACAAGATCAAATTAAGCAGGTATTTATAACCACTGTATTCAACCAATTTGAAAAGTGAACTACCTCAACTTGGAGACATTACAAATAAACAACAGATCTTTCTTGGACTAAAAGAAGGGGTATGTTTGTACTTCAGAACTTGATGAAATAGCAAAATATTCACCACTGAAGCATGTATTTAAGTATGAGGAACATTGTTCTGCTTCTGCATTTGACTTTTTCTTCAAATGGAAGATCCTCAGAGTGATGGCTAATGAGTTATTCCGCAGCGTGCAATGTAAGACTCACCAAGAAGATTTCAAAAGTTAAAGCTAGTGCTCAAGATGGTATAAATAGGAATTCTCATGTATTCTTTTGATTTATCCATGTATCAGGACCTATTTTTACAAATCAGTACTGCTTGCAGTAGCACAGAGAATTGTTTACAGATATTACCATGAACAATTCATTTCCTTTTTCTTAAGTGGTTTTCCATCTTTCCTTAAGACAATTAAAAACTAGTTCTTCTACAGATAAATATTTGTTTACTGAACCCACAACTAACATTTCTACAGACAAGTTTTCTTTTGTAAACAAGACGAGGAATGAGCACATGGAGGTATTGGTTCAAGACGACAAAGCAGAGTTATGAACCATTCCTCTGCTTTTCTTTCCTCTTCTGCTCAAGAATTTAAAAACATTAATCAAGTTATTAAATCAACTTGATATTACTTTTACAAAAGCTCCAGAATTAACATGGCACATGCATTCAGCTGAAAGAAAAGATGGGATCAAGAAGCATAAATGAATCAACAGACCATTGTCACTAAACAGAGTGTGCTCAGGGTGGTATTCTTCAACTACTGGGTACCATAAGGGATTCTCTCAAATATTTCTGTAAGAAATGCAATTCCACAGAAAGTTTAAATGTTTTTGAAACTTGTATAGATATTGACATTTGATTATTTTTTTTTTCCAAAGAAGGAAGAGAAACACACTTCATTTATCAAAATAAATTTATCAAAATAAAAGGAGAGAGAGAGAGAGAGAGAGAGAGAGAGAGAGAGAGAGAGAGAGAGAGAGAGAGAGAGAGAGAGAGAGAGAGAGACAACAGTGCATTACTTTTTAAAGTCAATGCCTATTGCAGCCTAAGAATGTATTGGCTAAGAATTGAAAGAAAAAAAAACACTCAGAAAGCCTTAAAAAGAGACTGATAATTATATAAAGCATATTAAAACCTCTCCCCCTTGCTCCTCCCCACCACGCGCGCGCACACACACACATTAAATGAATATGTTTTTTCCATTATTTTCTTCCAAGAGCTAATTTTAATTCCTGAAAGGTATTAAAAACTATTTGGGATTTATAACAAATAAAATTTTAAAAGCAACACTCTAGTTTAATAGTCTAAGATGACTGGCTGTTTCTACATTCTTGGTAGTTTTCAAGCAGACACCCACCACATGAGTGCAACAAAAGCATAAATTAACCACATTAGTACTTACCCTGCATCTCCTGTGTGCAGCAGAATTTGTTATAATGCACATATAATCAGAATAGGATATTGGTCCTCTCATTCATCACAACACAGCTGGCACACACAGTTGCAGTTCTACAATACAAGGTATGTGCAGCTGTACATGCTCCTCCTGAGCGCATCTSAAGTCAAGCACTAAGACACTACTACTCTGAGCTGAGAGAACCTCTTCTCTGAACCTCTGARCTGTCTATGAAAAATTCAAATAATTATTAATCTTTCAGCTCCTTCAGTAAAACTGACCTTGTAGACAGGTCCAAATGAAACTTTGCTGGGCAACAATTTCAATCTGGTATCAATTATACCTTTTCCTTTCTCTATATTTTATTATTCAGGAAAAAAAAAAAGTCACCTACCATCTGCAGTTTTTTCTTATCCTTGTTAGCACTAGTGTGAGCAGCCTCGATTGCAGTATGATGTTTCCACGTCAATTCTTCCAAGGTCTTAGAATGAGCCTCCTTCAACTGTGCAGCCTCTCCTTCCAATCTTGCCTGCAATTTCACCAGCTCCTTCTCGTAATATTCCCGCTGCGTCTCCCTTGCTTCGTTTACTTTCTGTAGAAAACAAGGAAAGTCTTCAACTGCTATCTCAGACCCCAGTTTCCTCTAATAAAGGATAAAGACCCCAACTCCACTCCAATAAGAGAGGAAAAAAGAAAAATAGAGGAAGTGTACTGATAATACATATGAACAGATATTAACATAYATACAAAATATAATGCTTAGCATTTGTCCAATTTCTCTGATTAATCACTCAACAAACAAAAATAGCTTCAGACCATCTGCACATTTGATTTTAGATTTATTGTTAACGTCCATCTTTTAGATATATTTACCTCATGGAAACAGCCAGCAGGTACTAAACCTACAGAAAATTTCAGTTAATTTTCAAACATGTTTAGTTCATTTTCAGAATATTGCTTTTCATTTTTATTTGGCCATTTTATCTTCCTTCCTACTGAGATTCTTTTAAATTGTGAGACGCTCTCTGAATCAACTGTTGAAAAGGTGCCCCAAACAGTTTGGGCAATCTCTAACATGTCTTCTCTCCCTCTGCCTTCACTTCAGTTGAAACAGGTAACACCAAATCCGCCACACACATTCTACATTAGACCTTCTATGATGCTAYATGAGGTTCACTTGGAACAAACTGCTCCTGTCACTTCAGACTTATAAATAACTAAAACATATTCATATTTCTGCTCAAAAATCTATCTTGTTTTTATTTGTTTAAAGCCARTAAGCTGGTTTACCTTCTCCAATGCCAAAATCTGCTGCCTTTGTCGTTCATCCAGGCTCTGTGTTTTGCTTTGTAATAAGTTTCTTTCTTCTTCTAGTTGGGATAGCTTTTCTTTSAGTCTAGATTTTTCAGATTCCAAATCTCTGATTGTAACTTCTTGAGTCATTTGAGTAGCTTGRAGCATCCCAATGTGACCTAAAAACAAAAGAACTCTATTTTTTATCTGACTACTTTATGTGAAGATTTTAAAGAACTGTGTGTAGCAGTATTATTTATTCAAAACATGTTTGTTACAGCCCCAGCTTCGTGGCATTACCTTCTTATTAAAACTTATGTCACCTGGCAATTTTAATAAAATTTAAAAAACAAGTTTTATTTAAAGGAGGTTTAAGTTTATGTTAGAGAGAAGTAGCTAAGGAGGTCAGCTTTGTTGCCTTGCCTCTCATAAGAAAATAAGACMACCACTGTGGCTCCTAATTCATTTCCATCTCTGCACAGAGGGCAGGAAACAGCAATTCTCTCTCAGGCTGAATACAAGAGGAATGCAAAGCTTTCCAAGACATAGTAAAGTATTTTTTACTGCACTGAATGACACGCAATGTTTAAAACTTTAAGGAATCTTTTTTTCTGCAATTAATAACTATGAGAATAGATTTCTTTGAGACAGCATTTTTGATTCCTAGGTGTGAGCTGATGTCAGAAGCGGTTTCTGAACATACAGGTAACTGATGGCCTTGCAAGATAATGGCTTGGTGGCACTTCCAAAAGCAGGGCTCCGGGCTCTTGAGCACTTGAGGTGCTATACTCTTGCACTGTGAGGTGCTCTTGCACTATGAGGTGCTATAGAGCAAAGAGGGACCACTGACAGTGTTACTGTGCTCAGCATCAGTGTGGACACAGGGAATTTCGGTGCCAGAGAAGACTAGTGCTTGACTGATAGTCTGGGTTCATTCCATGCCATCAGCATTGCTGAAAAATGGACTGGATACTTAAGAATGACTTAGCACCCAGGCCTGTATTTAGGGGAAAAAAAAAATATATGTTTCTGCCTAGGAATAGAATCAGAGGAGTGAAAGGAGTGGAAGAAAAGTTTATTCAGAAGATCTCATCTGGTAACTTATAAAAAGATCAGATTAATCCCCAAAATTCCTGATGAGTGCTCTTTAGGGGAAGCACTGTCCTTTCAGTTATTTGCATTCAGTAGGACTTACAGGATTGGATCCTAGCTTAAACAATTACCCAAAGAGCCCAGACTCTTTCTAGGCCTCACCTTAGTCAGCTTGTATATTCTCCTCTTTCTAAGCATGAGGTTTTCCAGGCAGCTCAGTTCATCTGTAGGGCCTGCTTATTCAWTTGAGGGACAGAAATAAAGCCTAGAGACAGGCCACCTTCACACACACAGTTTGAGGGCTGCCATCTATGACAGTAAACTACATTAATATTAGCAAGTTAATGTCAGGGAGTGTTTTCTGGCCCTAAGGYGAGCTTGAACAGCTTGGCAACATTCCAGACTTCAAAGAAAGGTGACCTCATCCAAACTGACTTTTGGGAMGAGTCCCTGGCTTGTGCTGGCTGCTTAAAAATAATCCTACCACTTGTCCTACCAAATTGTCCTACCACTGTTTAGTGGTGTCAGTGAGGTAAGAAAATGGCATCTTAAGTCAGTAAGAACCACATGTCTACAAAAAAGTTTTATATCATTTCCTATGCTTTCCCACATGCCAACAAGCATAACAAAAATCAGGAAAAGTGCTGTAAAGAAAACCCAAACACTTTACTAACTGATAAACAGAAAGTATTTTGAAAGTCAGCACAAAGGAAAAGAAAATCTGCACGCTAAGCAGATAAATAAAGCTCTTCATTTCAGATGCCTTTTAGGCATCTGAATAAGACAGAGGAACGGGAAGCATATGTTTCAACCTAAATAATRATAACAAAGAACAAGCAGAAGTAAAGCAAAAGCATATACTGTCCCCTTAAGTAGAGCTAAAGCATAAGATTCCCAGGACTGAGAATACAATATCTACAGGGCATCTAAAGTAGAACATTTGTACAAATAAGCACACAAAAGAGAATCTTAAATACAATGTATGCAATAAAACACTTGCCCAAAACTTCTAGGTACAGTATTAAACACTTGTTAAGCATTCTACATCTATGCAAGATTAATGGTAAAAGGAGAGACTAGTAATTTTGTGACAGAGTAGGTACGGCTGGGTTCCAGATTAAGTTACTGACATACATACTGGCTTTGAGAACAAGATCAGTGGCCTGCTGCTGTAAGCGCTCCCTAGCAGCTGCTAGCTCGCTCTCCACTTCCTTGTGTTTGCTCAACAGGGACATCTCCTCCTCCTTCACGTCATCTAGTTGTTTTTGAAGAACCTAAGGAAGCATCATATAGTGCTTGTTAATATTATACAAATTATGTTTAGATTTAAATGAGCATTAAGTTAAAATGTGCAGAAGAGACCTCCTAGGCAAACAATTTACATACAAACCAAAACCTCATATTACCACCTTAATACTCATTTTATGTTTTGTATTTTTCCAAAAACCCTGCTGAAATACTACAACGTGCCGGCTATATAGCATGAAAAAGATGTGTTCATGAAGACTGTGAAGAAATAGCACAAAAAAAGCTATATAAAAACAACACAGAAAAAGGTAACACATGCCACAAATTCTGAGGAATAATTTGAGAAATCTAGTAACTGATTTCTTAGAACTGCTTACACACATACAAAAAACCAAGAAAACACATTATACATTCACAGCAGTTTTCATTGTCCTTAATTGCAGCTGTGTTTACTATTAGCACAAATCAAGTTTCACATGCAAATACATTAAATGAGAGCAAGGCAATTAGTTAAAAATTTGCAATTTAAGTCACCTGCGTCAATTCWCAAGAGAAGCTCAGTTGTAGTATAATATAATGTATTCCCAGCCATTCAGGAAGGGAAAGGGAATGCTTCTCTTTTAAAAGAAAACTKCATCTCTCATCTTTGAAGTTACAGGAATAACAAGTGGTCAAAGAGAAAAGAAAAGGAGGGTAAGGGCATGAAATGTAATCGGAACAAAATCCAAACCTTGAATTCCTCCTTTTCTAAGCCCAACTAGTTAACTAAGAGGTGGATGTGAGGCAAGGAGGAGYGATAGATTAAAGTTTACATGATGAAATCACTTCAAGCTATCAGCCTTGCAGAAAGCCAGTCTTAAAAGGTGGAGGAAAAATATATTGGAAATAACACAGCACCAGTCTCACCTGTACGTTGTTTTCCGCCGTACCAAGAGCTACCTGAAGTTTTTGGCATTTTTCCCGCAGACTGGCAGCTTCATCCTGGACCATTTGCAATTCAGTTTTAAGCTTTCCCAAGTTCTTCCGTAAAATACTTTCTTGGTTTTGAAATTCTTTTCTTAGCTCCACTTCTTTTTCTTTGCAGGCATGCAGGCTCTCAGCTGTAAAAAGCTGAGATCTTTTCAAAGAGTCAAGTTCATGTTCATAAAAGGACTGAGCTTTGCTGAGTTTGCCTTCATAGTCCTCAATAAGTTTTTTCCTTTCTAGTCTCAGCTCTTCAACTTTACTGTTTAAGTCTTCCAGCTCCATTCTGTGCAGTTCCTCTAGCTTTTCTTGCCCCTTGCTTAAGGTAGCATTCTGGCTCTGCTGCGTCTTCAGAAGCTCTTGAATCTCAAGTCTATGTGCAGCTCTCAAGTCTTCAAGAGCCGCTCGTTTGTCTTTTTCATACTGCACCTGCAGCTGTATGAAACTTCGTAGCCTTTCCTCAAATTTCTTTCTAATCTCTTCTACTTCCCTTGACATGGTCACTACCCGTTGGACATGCTGAGCTTCTGCACAAAGCTGCATGTCTTCAACTCTGTCTTTATAGGCTTCAAATTCAGTCAAGGCCTGATGTTTCATCTTCTTATGATCTTCCAGTGACTCTTCCAAAACCTGGATCTTTCTTTTAAGATCCATTTCTTCTGCAACTTTACTTTTATATTGCAAGATCTTCTCTCTGGTTTCTGCAAGAATTTGTTGAATTTCTTCCTCATGTGCATCCTTGAGGGCTTGGATGGCAGCTTCATGCTCATCATTTTTAGTATTCAAAGCATATATTACCTACAAACATAAAACAATGTTATACTGAGTAAATGTACTGTTTTTCTACTAAGTAAAAAAGGCATTCGGAAAGCTATTTTAACTATTTAACATGTTTTAATGATATATGCGAGACACCACATTTTCTTATGTACAAATACTGTATTAATAATTACAACAGCTTTCAAACACTGAGGAATGGGATTTTTATATTCTTTAAACCTATAATTTTGCTAGTGAAAGTTTTGCGTTTGTACGCAATAAACTACTGCAAATAAAAATTGGTGAAATTCTAGGAAGAGAAACACACTATTCTGAAAAACAAAATAAAGGTATTTGTACAAAAAAATAACACTCAGAGTATATACTACAAGAAGGCATGAAATCTAATCAGAATGAAGTCCACATTTTGAATTCCGCCTTCCCAAAGGCTAATTACACTTAAATGCTTCCTTTTAGRAACGCAAACATCAACACTGGTTGACCTGGTCTAAAGCCTGCCSTTTGCCTGGATACAACCTAGGTTTTTGACAGCTTATCCGGTAGCAGCCTGTGTATGCGGATCTCTTAGGACCTGAGGTCCCTGGTTGCAGAAGGCTGCCACTCTGCTAGCTGGCAAGCCGGCCAAAGAGGCAGGTAGCTGGCAGGCCAACTAACCATTTGGAGAGCCCAGGAGGCTAAGCAGCTCAAGCAGGCTGGGAAAGCAATGAACTGCCCAAAACCAAGTGAAAGTTTTCATGCAACCAGACACACTATGGGATGTTTCAGTTGCACCAGGATGGGATATGTAGGCTGCACTTTTGTTTTAAGTAGAAGCATTAAGTGATAAGTATTCTTACTGATGGACAGGYATGTGATCTGTAACTATCACAGTGAAGAAGTTATATATGCTCCAGTAAGTGGTTAAATGTTTAATTTTATGCTCTAAGAATTCCAGCAAATCCACACACTTCTCCAACATATTACAGCCAGCAGTTATAAAATAAATTTGAATAACTGCCCCTTCTCCAAAAAAAAAAAAAGTCAGATCACTATACTTGATGTATCCTAAAAATGAACAAAACCTATGAAAAACAAAAGAAAAAAAAAAAAAACAGTGTTTTCTGTGAGGACATGAACTGCATCAGTCCTCAGCTGGCATTCAAACGGACACCAGAAAAGCATTGTCTTGATTTCATCAGAAGATCAAGAAATCATTGGGCTCTACAGCAGCAAGCAGAGTCTCTACCTTCTGGAGAATATACCTACAGTTCAAGAGTCCACACACAAAACTCAAAACACAGTCTTCAGAAGGGAAGAATTACATTTTAAAATGTTCTATAACAAGTTCTGTTCTTATAACAAAACCCTTATTGGTGCTCTCTGTCCTCAGCAAGTCTATGACGCTTGTCTGATCTCCCCCTCAGCCACTAAGAGTAGAAGGTTTAAGGTAAATCAAGTGGCCTTCCAGCTCAGATACAAAGCTACCACAGAACGCTGCCCTTTCTCTGGGTCCTGCCACRGGACTTGGACTGTTCTCACATTAGCTGCTACATTCCTCATTTTCTCAGTCCTAATGCTAATACTAGTAAGAATGCAGCTAATGCTAGTAAGATCTCTGGTCRGAAACCAAAGCACTAGGAAAATGCTGAGGCGCCTGCCTGAAGGCTTTTGTAAATTAAACAGGACTCTCTACATTTATAATTTTTGCCTCCTGTCACTGTGCACAGAAACACCATAGCATTCTATCTCACTGCAGAGTGTGCCAGTATCAGGTTATATGGCATTATAACCTGCAGTAAATAAAAAACAAACAGTATTTTTAAGGGTATTATGATTTAAAATTAAGACCACCACAGAAAAACCCAAGTGAAAATTAAGCCTGCATTTCATGCCAGATTCAGAAGATGTCCTAACTTTATCATCTGCTTACTCCATATAAAACACATTGAACATCTAGATGTTCAAAAAGCACCATTCATTCTCTGAAGGACAGAGATGTCTTTTGGAAAAATGTAAGAAAAGTAAATTAAAAGGCATGTAACTGTATAATAAAGTATAAAAAGAATAAATGTCTGATTAGAGTGCCTCAGGAGGCTTATTTTCAGCCCGATGAAATGTGTAGATAATGTATTTTGTATTTGCATCTCATCAYTCAGTGTTCTGAGTGATGGGATTGCTACATCAGGTTTTCTATGAGAATTTGATGTTAGATTTTAGCACAGGAGCATAGGGAAAATCAGTACTAACGTTACACAGCATAACAGTATTTCCTTCAAATGAGAACAGAAACTGATATTTTTAAAGCAAACTAACATATTTAAAAGTTCCAGACTTGCTAAATAAGTTTCTGACAATTCAAATGCAGTAAGCTTGCAGATGYTGGAAATGCACAAAATGTATCTTGTATTCTTTACTTCTTTTGAAAGAGAAGACAAGTCGCTTCCTAACCATATTCCTTTAATTTTTAAAGCAGTCTTAGTTTTTTCAGCAGAAATACATATTATGAACAAGCATAAACTGTTAATTTAATTCATTTTCTCCAACCCAACCCTAATCATTATACACACTGCAGGTGTTTCAAATAACAAGAAAAAAATGCATTTTATTAGGCTTTCAATTAGACAATTAGTCCAGGGATACAGATARAAAAACAGAAAAATAGTTCAAGAATGAGACTGCTGGCTAACGGTCTTATTTTCTATAATGAATAGTAAGATAACAATCCTACAATTGTAATAATAATAACAATAATAATAAATAACATTAATATGAATCTGTCATAATTTTGTGTGTCTGGCTCTTACCTACCAAAGAATAAAAAAATTTAAAATAATGACTTTTTAGCACTAAGAACTCGGTATAGGAGTGGTTAGCAGTATTGTATGTGGCAATTAAAGAGTCTGTTGCTGCATAAGCTTTGGTGCCTTGTGACATATGGAATACAAACAACAATCGGTGCTCAACACCGTTTTCAGCTGAAAGCCTTTTGTTTGACTATTTGGCGGAGAAAAAATTTTGACTCCAAACCAGATGTTGTGCTCTTGCATGGTTGGCTGCAGTTACATTTTGTAATGACAGAATGTCTTTCCAATTAAAAATGCATAATTCAAGTTAATACTAATATTAGGTGCCAAAAATATTTACAGTACAGAAAATTACCTCAAAAAAATGCACGTGGCTCATTCTGCTCAAATTTACATGAAATCAGGACCGCTACCTATGAGGCCACCATACGTAACAACCATTATTATATAACATAACAACCATTATTATATTTTCTACATAAACATCCATCTTACATCTCCAGCAAGTCTTGATTTAGAGCTAATGCACAAACACTCACATCAGATCCCARAGTCCGCAGCATCAGCGACTACCCATGCTGTGCCCACCAGATTTCGTTAGCCRCTGCTGCACACCTATTAAAATTAGCCACTAAATTTAGGAATTAATTTTATATAATATTTAAAAAAAAGAGATATACTAAAGAAGAGTTACACTGTTCGTTACAATGGATATTGGATTCATTTTTCCCCTTGTCCCATCTTTTGACCAAACGGRGGAAGCCAGTTACATACATGCATTTCAAACTTATTGACCACTAATAACTGACTGCTAATAGGTCAATTAAGATATAATATCAACCAGTTTAAAATCTAGAAAAAGTCTGGTTTTGCTAGTCAAATTTTTTTTGCTTAGTACCACACAAAAACATTCTCCAAAGTTATTTAAAACAGTATTTCAGAAAAGTAGTCCACAATTGCTGAGTACATTCTTACAAATATTTTTCTAACATACATGGAGGAGACGGCTGATTATACACTCCATTCCTTCACATGCATTGTTACTGGAAAGACACACTCTGAACATTTTTCTTAAAATACCCTATTAAGTTGCATTTTTGAGGCCAGCTTTTAAAAAAATGTAGTCAAGAGACAACTCTGATGAACATTCAAAAGGAAAAATCATGTTATTGCTAAATCTGAAGACCTCCTTCTTTAAAAAGCCATGTTATGGATGCATGTTTTGGGGCCTTGGTGCTAAAGGACACAAATGCTTTCCATTCTGGTATTTATCGACATTGCTGAGTCAAGACCACCAAAATGTCCAGGTCCTTCTCCACAACTGCACTTGTTAGTTTGTCATAAGGTTTCTGCTAACCTTTTAACTTATATCCTACATTTTGTTTTTCTAGTGTGTTTTATGTATTGGTTATGTGACTGAGGAGTGCAATGAACTAAAAAAAAAAAAAAAAAATCCTCCAAACACCTTACATTCACACAATCACACAAGCTGCCTTATGAAAATCTTAGTTCCCTTTACACCAAACATTTACATCTGGTACTACTAAGCTACTTCAGAATGCAAAGTGAAGGAATGAACTGCCAACACCACAGCCCTCAAAGCCACCCCCAGTCTATATGCTCTGGATGATGARGCGTTGAGAAGTGAACCTGCACAGCACCGCCACATTCCTCCCTTTCCCAGTTAACTACCAAAAGGCAAAACTTACCCAAAACTAAGCTATGCAAACATACTCCACAGCTACTGTTTACAATAACACACTTGTTTGGAGAAAAAGCATTAGGAAGGTATAAATTGAGGTGAGGATGTAGCTGCCAGGAAATTCATCTGTTTCAGCATCTGCTACAGCCTGCCGCGACTTTCTGAGGGCAGGTTAGACACCATTTATGAATGTAAACACAACAGTCCAAGAAAGACTGGCTACAAGTTAACCTCCCTGACTTGTCATACAATAAATTAAGGACTTGAATTTAAAAAGTCAAATTAATTAAATGACATCAAGCATGCCTATTTTCACAACAGAGAAGTCAGGAGTCGATCAACAAGGGCAGATCTTTTAAATTCTGGAGAAGAGAAGGCTGAGARGGGATATGATTAACATGTGTAAGTTCATGAAGGRGGAATGTAGGAAGGAAGGGGCCAAACTCTTCTCAGTGGTGGCCAGTGAAAGGACAAGGGGYAATGGGWACAAGTTGAAACACAGGAAGTTCCATCTCCATATGAGGAAGAACTTC